CCCGGCGAGCTGCAGGACGAGCTGATGAGCGTGCGTCTGCGGGAGGCGCAGGCCCTGGCCGAGGGCCGCGAGCTGCGGCAGCGCGTGGTGGAGCTGGAGACGCAGGTGCGGGGTGTGTGTGTGCGTCTGTCTGTCCGGATCTGTGTGTGTGTGTCTGTCTGTCTGTCCGGATCTGTGTGTGTGTCTGTCTGTCTGTCTGTCCGGGTCTGTGTGTGTGTGTCTGTGTGTGTGTGTGTCTGTCTGTCTGTCCGGGTCTGTGTGTGTGTCTGTGTGTGTGTGTGTCTGTCTGTCTGTCCGGGTCTGTGTGTGTGTGTGTGTGTCTGTCTGTCCGGGTCTGTCTGTCTGTGTCTGTCTGTCTGTCAGCGCCCTGACCGCCCTCCCCTCCCAGGACCACATGCACCGCTCTGTGTGTGTGTGTGCGTTTGTCTGTCTGGGTGTGTGTGTCTGTCTGTCTGTCCAGATCTGTGTGTGTGTCTGTCTGTCTGTCTGTCCGGGTCTGTGTGTGTGTGTCTGTGTGTGTGTGTGTCTGTCTGTCCGGGTCTGTCTGTCTGTGTGTGTCTGTCTGTCGGCGCCCTGACCGCCCTGCCCTCCCAGGACCACATCCACCGCTGTGTGTGTGTGTCTGTGTGTCTGTCTGTCTGTCTGTCGGCGCCCTGACCGCCCTCCCCTCCCAGGACCACATGCACCGCTGTGTGTGTGTGTGTGTGTGTCTGTCTGTCTGTCTGTCGGCGCCCTGACCGCCCTGCCCTCCCAGGACCACATCCACCGCTGTGTGTGTGTGTCTGTGTGTCTGTCTGTCTGTCCGGGTCTGTGTGTGTGTGTCTGTGTGTGTGTCTGTCCTTGTGTCTGTGTGTGTGTGTGTCTGTCTGTGTGTGTCTGTCTGTCGGCGCCCTGACCGCCCTGCCCTCCCAGGACCACATCCACCGCAACCTGCTGAACCGCGTGGAGGCGGAGCGCGCGGCGCTGCAGGAGAAGCTGCAGTACCTGGCGGCGCAGAACAAGGGGCTGCAGACGCAGCTGAGCGAGAGCCGCCGCAAGCAGGCCGAGGCCGAGTGCAAGGTGCGCGGGGCCGGGTGGAGCCTGAGCGGCAGAGGCCCCGCCCTCCTAGGCCCCGCCCCGTTCCGAGGCCCCGCCCCTGACTCCCGCCCCCCTCGCCCGCCCGCAGAGCAAGGAGGAGGTGATGGCCGTGCGCCTGCGGGAGGCCGACAGCATGGCGGCCGTGGCCGAGATGAGACAGCGCATCGCCGAGCTGGAGATCCAGGTGAGCGGAGGGGCGGGGCCAGGCACGAGGGCGGGGCCTGCCCGCGGTGGGCGGGGCTTGACATGCGGTAGGCGGGGCTGTGGACGCCGTCTGGACGAGCCCTTCCCTTCCCTGGTCCTCCCCTGCCCTGCCCTGCCCTGCCCGTCTCTCTCTGCCCTGCCCGTCTCTGCCTGTCTCTGCCCTGCCCTGCCCTGCCCGTCTCTGCCCTGCCCTCCCCTCCCCTGCCCTGCCCGTCTCTGCCCTCCCCTGCCCTCCCCTGCCTGTCTCTGCCCTCCCCTGCTCTGTCCTCCCCTGCCCTGCCCATCTCTGCCCATCTCTGCCCATCTCTGCCCTTCCCTCCCCTGCCCTGCCCGTCTCTGCCCTGCCCTGCCCTCCCCTGCCTGTCTCTGCCTTCCCCTGCCTGTCTCTGCCCTGCCCTGCCCTGCCCGTCTCGTCTGCCCTGCCCTCCCCTGCCCTCCCCTGCCCGTCTCTGCCCTGCCCTGCTCTGTCCTCCCCTGCCCTGCCCATCTCTGCCCTTCCCTCCCCTGCCCTGCCCGTCTCTGCCCTGCCTGTCTCTGCCCTGCCTGTCTCTGCCCTGCCCGTCTCTGTCCTCCCCTGCCCTGCCCGTCTCTGCCCTGCCCTCCCCTGCCCTGCCCTGCCTGTCTCTGCCCTGCCCGTCTCTGCCCGGCCCTCCCCTGCCCGTCTCTGCCTGTCTCTGCCCGTCTCTGCCCTGCCCTGCTCTGCCCTTCCCTCCCCTGCCCTCCCCTGCCCTGCCCTGTCCTCCCCTGCCCGTCTCTGCCCTGCCCAGCCCTGCCCATCTCTGCCCTGCCCGTCTCTGCCCGGCCCTCCCCTGCCTGGCCCTGACCACCTGCCCCCCGGCCCCGCAGAGGGAAGAGGGCCGCATCCAGGGCCAGCTGAACCACTCGGACTCGTCGCAGTACATCCGTGAGCTCAAGGACCAGATCCAGGAGCTAAAGGCCGAGGTGAGGGCGGGGGCCAGGGGCACGGGGGGGGGGGCTGGGGGCATGGGGGGACAGGGGCGGGCAGGGGCGGGCGGGGGCCAGGGGCACGGGGGGGGGCCGGGGGCACGGGGGCCAAGGGCATGGGGGGCCAGGGGCACGGGGGCACAAGGCACGGGGGCACAAGGCACGGGGGGGGGGGGCCAGGTGGGGGCCAGGGGCATGGGGGGCCGGGGCGGGCAGGGGCACGGAGGGCACAGGAGCATGGGGGCCGGGAGCACGGGGGCCAGGAGCACGGGGGCTGGGGGCACGGGGGTCACAGGGGCATAGGGACACGGGGCGGGCGGGGGCACAGGGCACGGGGGCACGGGGGTCATGGAGGCATAGGGGCACGGGGCGGGCGGGGGCACAGGGCACGGGGGCACGGGGGGCACGGCAGGCCCGATCCCGCGTGAGCACCCGGGGCTCGCCTCCAGCGCGCCGGTCCCCCGCCCCAGGTGCGGCTGCTCAAGGGCCCGCCGGCCTTCGAGGACCCGCTGGCCTTCGACGGGCTGAGCCTGGCGCGGCACCTGGACGAGGACTCGCTGCCGTCGTCGGACGAGGAGCTGCTGGGCGTGGGCGCGGCGCTGCAGGACGCCCTGTACCCGCTGTCCCCGCGCGACGCGCGCTTCTTCCGCCGCCTGGAGAGACCGGCCAAGGACAGCGAGGGCAGCGAGGACAGCGACGCCGACGAGCTGGCCGCGCCCTATAGCCAGGGCCTGGACCATTGAGCCCGTGGCCGGTGTGCCTGGAGGCTGCAGCCGCCGAGGGACAGCTGGCAGACGCATTTTGCGGAGGGCAGGGTGGCCGCGGGCTCGCTCCCGTACCTTCCCGGGGCAGTATGCACCCCCCATGTGGGTCCGCTACCCCCCATGTGGGTCCGCGCCCCTGCGAGGCCGAGGTGCAGGGCGGACTGCGGGGGACAGCCGGCCGCTTTCCCGTGTCCAGCAGGCGGCCCTGGGGACGTGGTGGCCCAGGTGGCCCTAGGGCAGCCCTGCTGGGAAGGGCTGAGGAAGGAGGAGCAGCTGCAGGCTGGCATTGGCACAACCACTGGGGGGGGGGGAGGTGGCGGCCACTACAGCCAAAAACCAAAAGCCCCCTCGACCGACCACATGGGGGGGGGGTCACTTGAATGCAGGTGGCAGGGCCGAGCAGAGCTGAGGGCATGAGAGCCCCTCCCCGCCACACCCCCTCTCCCTCCCCACCAGCGTCTCCCAGCTTCCTCCAGGCGAAACCCTGCCAGGTGGGCAGGGAGAGGGACGAGGGGGAAGAGGGCAGGCAGAGGGAAGCGCCCCAAGGGTCCCAGGCGAGTGTGAGCCCAAGAACGGTGCCAAAGTCCAGCCAAGTCCTCAGAGCTCCCCCCTTCCTGCGACCCACTCACCCTCCACTCCCCACGGCCTCGAGACCCCACGGGGCCACATTTGGTGCTCCTGGAGCGGCTAGGAGCCAGCGATGTCCCCCCTCTGACCCCCACCACCTCCATCATAAGCGATTTCCTGACGCTGCCCTGGGGTGTGGGGACACCAACCCCCCCAAGCCCCCACCACCCCCCAGGCCTCCACTTCCTGGCCACCCGGCCACTCTTTGCAGTGTTTTCAAAGCCTGGGGGGGCCGGGGCAGGTGCACACGCGGGCTTCGGCCCCCTGTGCCCTCACACTGCCCACCACCATTTTGCACACTGCCTGTTCACACTCCATATGTCGCCCAGGTGGGGGAGGGGGGAGAGGAAGACGAGAAATAAAGTGTATTTACACGGCAGGGGCTGCCGCTGTGAGGGGTGGAGTGGGGGCGCAGCATGCTGCACAGGTCTGGGTATGGGAGGTGGCTGGGGGAACCGGACCACCCTGGGAGGCTCCTGCTGAGAGCGGGAGAGGGCAGGCAAGCCCACGGGTGTGAGCAGGTTAGAATCGGGGTGGGGAGGAGGTGGGCTGGCCAGTCACATGGTCTGTGACCAAGCAGGGAAGGCTTCCTGGAGGAATGGGGGCAGTTGTTGAACCTTCCAGAAGGTTATATATATATAAAAATATAGATTCCACACATGAGAAGGGTGTGGAGTAAGGACCCCCTAGCCTGCAACCCCAGCCCTGGGAGGGGTGTGCCGGGAAGGGAGGGGGCGTCTCTTGAAGAACCCCAGGCCCAGGCACTGTCCCGTCTTCTGCATTGCGACACCTGCGTGAACGTCCCACGCGAAGTTCGCAGCACAAGGGACCCGCCCTTCCCTGCCGCCTTTCCCTGGGCATCGGCCCTGGCAAGACCTGTGGTCACTCTGCTCCAGCTAGACAGCTGGACACCACTTCCCGGCTGGCCTGGTGGGAGCCAGGAAAGAGAGTAGAAACGGAGCAAGCTTGGGTTCACGGCTGAAGAGATGGGCAACCCAGGACCAGGGCTTCCCCCAGGGCTGCGCGGCTCAGTCTGAGCTCCAACTCGGGCACGCGCCCCTGGCCCCTTGGCAGGACCCCCCCAGCACAGACAGACATGGCAACGGTGTGCAGGGTCCTGGTTTATTGCAGAGTAGGGGGATGCACGGGGTACAGGGAGCCAAGGACAGGGAGGGAGGGGTCTGGGTGAGGAGGGGTGGGGGCTAGCTGGGGCAGTGGGCGTCCAGGGTTAAAAGCAGCGGATGCTTGGGTGGAACCGGAGCAGAGGCCAAAGGCAGGGGCTGGACCCTGGGGCGGACGGGGCAGACAGGACTGTCCGGCGCCATGACCCATCAGCCGAGAGCAGGACTCCGGGAGAGGGGGGGACGGGGGCAGGTGTAGGGCTCAGTGGAAGGTCTCCACCTCCACCACGGTCCAGTCCCCCTGCGGCGAGGCCACGTCGTCCGGAGAGAAGCTGGTGACGGAGGTGATGCTCGCCCGGGACTCGTCCAGCGGGGACAGCAGCTCTGCCCAGCGGCCCAGCTCGGCGTCGCTGAGCGCAGTCCGTGCCCCTCCTGCGCCGGGCCCCGCGCCGCCCTCGGCCGCGGCCAGCAGCAGCGTGCGGCTCAGCAGGTGCTGCACCACGCTGGCCTGCAGCGCCCCGAGCTGCAGCTCGCCCAGGCGCGCCGTGGCCTTGGGGCTGCGCGGCGCAGGGGACCCCGGCTGGCCCTCGGCCTCCGAAGCCCCGGACGCCGCCTTGCCGTCCCCCACGCTGGGCGCAGGGTCCTCATCCGGGGCGCCAGGGCCGGGGGTCGCGGCCTCGGGCCCGTCGGCCTCGTAGATGGTGCACAGTCCGTCGGCGGAGCCCGGACCGGCCACCGGAGGCCACGACAGCAACGCTCCTGAGGGGCAGGGAGAGACGCCGGGCTGGACGCGGGACAGGCACCCGGAACGGGGAGCCCACCCTGTGTGGACACGCCAGAGACCACCCTGCACGGGGAGCCCACCCTGTGTGGACACGCCACAGTCCACCCAGAACAGGGAGCCCACCCTGTGTGGACACGCCACAGTCCACCCTGCACGGGGAGCCCACCCTGTGTGGACACGCCACAGTCCACCCTGCACGGGGAGCCCACCCTGTGTGGACACGCCACAGTCCACCCTGCACGGGAGCCCACCCCGCACGGGGAGCCCACCCTGTGTGGACACGCCACAGTCCACCCTGCACGGGGAGCCCACCCTGTGTGGACACGCCACAGACCACCCTGCACGGGAGCCCACCCCGCACGGGGAGCCCACCCTGTGTGGACACGCCACAGTCCACCCCGCACGGGGAGCCCACCCTGTGTGGACACGCCACAGTCCACCCTGCACGGGAGCCCACCCCGCACGGGGAGCCCACCCTGTGTGGACACGCCACAGTCCACCCTGCACGGGGAGCCCACCCTGTGTGGACACGCCACAGACCACCCTGCACGGGGAGCCCACCCTGTGTGGACACGCCACAGTCCACCCTGCACGGGGAGCCCACCCTGCATGGACACGCCACAGACCACCCTGCACGGGGAGCCCACCCTGCACGGGGAGCCCACCCTGCATGGACACGCCACATTCCACCCTGCACGGGGAGCCCACCCTGCACGGGGAGCCCACCCTGCATGGACACGCCACATTCCACCCTGCACAGGGAGCCCACCCTGCATGGACACGCCACAGTCCACCCTGCACGGGGAGCCCACCCTGCATGGACACGCCACAGACCACCCTGCACGGGGAGCCCACCCTGCACGGGGAGCCCACCCTGCATGGACACGCCACATTCCACCCTGCACAGGGAGCCCACCCTGCATGGACACGCCACAGCCCACCCTGCACAGGGAGCCCACCCCAAGGAGCTCTGCAGTCCCCAGCACCAGCACCAGGCCGCCCACCTGACGACCACGCCCCCAACAAAAGGCCCCGCCCCCAGGACCAGGCAGCCCACCTGATGACCACGCCCCCAGAAGGCAGGGCTCCCCATAGGCACGAAAATCCACACTGAGCCCTCCCGCCGGCCCCGCCCTCCTCCACGGCCGGCCCCGCCCCTCGCTCAGGCCCCGCCCACATCGGGCCCCGCCCTCTTACCTGGTGTCCCCTGCACGGGCCCTCGGCTCCAGGCGGGCTCTCCCTCCCTGCTGCAGGCCCCGCCCCTCGTTAGGCCCCTCCCTCCTACAGCCCCACCCTCATGCAGGCCACACCCCTCGTTGGGCCCCTCCCGCAGCTATGCCCTTCCCTCCCTCAGCCCCGCCCTCATCAGGCCCCTCCCTCCTTCAGTCCCGCCCTCCAGACCCCTCCCTCCTCCCACCCCACCCTCCCGCAGGCCACGCCCCTCCCTCAGCCACGCCCCTCCAGGCCCCTCCCTCCTCCCGCCCCGCCCCTCCCGGCCCCAGCCCCTCCCTTCCGCAGGTCACTCCCTCCCGCCGGCCCCACCCCTCGTTAGGCCCCTCCCGCAGCCCCGCCCCTTCCGGCCCCTTCCTACCTGGCGCGCCCCGCGGCGGCCCGCGGCTCCAGGCGGCCGGGTGGCAGGCGGCGAGCTCGGCGTCGGCGGGCGGGGAGGCGGCGGCGCCCTCGGGCCCGCTGTCGTAGCCGCGCAGCTCCTCGGGCGTGCTGGTGGCGCTGCTGCTGTGCCCGGCCAGGTCGGGGCCGCTCAGCGTGCTGGACGGGCTGCGCGAGGGCGGCGCGGGCGGCGCGGGGGCCAGGGCCAGGCTCAGCCGCGACGACGAGGCCGCGGGGTCGGGGCCCGGGGTGGGCGGGCGGCGCGGGGGCGGGGCCTCGGCGGGGGGCGGGGCCTCGGGGAGGGACGAGGCCGGAAGTGCCGGCGGGGCCTCCGTGAGGGGCGGGGCCTCCGTGAGGGACAAGGCCGGAAGTGCAGGTGGGGCCTGGACGAGGGGCGTGGTCAGAGGTGAAGATGGGGCTTGGATGAGGGGCGTGGTCAGAGGTGGAACTGGGGAAGGCGGGGCCTCGACCAGAGGCGTGGTCAGAACTGGAGCTGGGGAAGGCGGGGCCTCGACCAGAGACGTGGTCAGAACTGGAACTGGGGAAGGCGGGGCCTCGACCAGAGGTGTGGTCAGAGGTGGAGCTGGGGAAGGCCGGGCCTCGACCAGAGGTGTGGTCAGAGGTGGAGCTGGGGAAGGCCGGGCCTCGACCAGAGGCGTGGTCAGAACTGGAGCTGGGGAAGGCGGGGCCTCGACCAGAGGTGTGGTCAGAGGTGGAGCTGGGGAAGGCGGGGCCTGGGCGAGGGGCGTGGTCAGAGATGAAGGCAGGGCCTGGATGAGGGGCGTGGTGAGAGGTGGGGGCGGGCCCAGGGAAGGTCCTGCCGGAGGGGGCGTGGCTATGCTGGAGGGCGTGTCCTGCAGAGCAGCAGTCACCAGGGCGGAGGAGGCCTCAGGCAGGGGTGCTGGGGGCGTGGTCACAGGAGCATGGGAGGCGGAGTCAGCAGGTGGGAGGTCCTGCAGGGAGGGCGGGGCAGGAGGGTGTGCAGCGGGGCAGACCGAGGCCAGAGGCGGGGATTGCAGACTGGGCGTGGCCAGAGGTGGGGACTGTGGACTGGGTGTGGTCAGAGGCGGGGATTGCAGACTGGGCGTGGTCAGAGGCGGGGATTGCAGACTGGGCGTGGTCAGAGGCGGGGATTGCAGACTGGGTGTGGTCAGAGGCGGGGATTGCAGACTGGACGTGGTCAGAGGCGGGGATTGCAGACTGGGCGTGGTTAGAGGCGGAGATTGCAGACTGGGCGTGGTCAGAGACTGGGATTGCAGCATGGGTGTGGTCAGAGGCGGGGATTGCAGCATGAGCATGGTCAGAGGCGGGGATTGCAGACTGGGCGTGGTCAGAGGCGGGGATTGCAGACTGGGCGTGGTCAGAAACTGGGATTGCAGCGTGGGTGTGGTCAGCGGGGAAGGCGTGGCCTGCAGAGAGCCTGACCCCTTGGAAGGGGAGGAGGCTGCAGAGGGAGCAGCCTGCAATGGAGGTGAAGCCGGAGCAGGTGGGGCCAGGGTGGTGGGCGTGGTCAGAGGTGTGGCCTCTGTGTGGGGTGTGGCCAGAGGTGTGGCGTCGGTGAGGGGTGTAGTCAGAGGCGTGGCCTCTGTTAGGGGCGTGGTCAGAGCAGGTGGTGCCTGGGTGGTGGGCGTGGTCAGAGGTGTGGCCCCCACGAGGGGTGTGGTCAGAGGTTGGGTCTTGGTGGTGGGCGTGGTCAGATGCATGGCCTCCACGAGGGGTGTGGTCAGAGGTTGGGTCTTGGTGGTGGGTGTGGTCGGAGGTGTGGCCTCCACAAGGGGTGTGGTCAGAGGTTGGGTCTTGGTGGTGGGCATGGTCAGAGGTGTGACCTCTGTTAGGGGCGTGGTCAGAGCAGGTGGTGCCTGGGTGGTAGGCGTGGTCGGAGGTGTGGCCTGCAGGAGGGTAGTGGTCAGAGTGGGTGTGGCCTGCACGAGGGGTGTGGCCTGCAGAGAGGGGATCCCCCAGGAAGAGCCTGGAGGAGACACAGACCTAAGAGGGGGACCCTGCAGGGTGAGTGTGGGAGAGACTTGCAGAGGGGCTGCCTGCGAGGGAGGCGTGGCCTGGGCAGGGGGCGGAGACAGAGAGGGGCTGGCCTGGGCAGGGGGCGGAGACAGAGAGGGGCTGGCCTGGGCAGGGGGCGGAGACAGAGAGGGGCTGGCCTGGGCAGGGGGCGGGGACAGAGAGGGGCTGGCCTGGGCAGGGGGCGGAGACAGAGAGGGGCTGGCATGGGCAGGGGGCGGAGACAGAGAGGGGCTGGCCTGGGCAGGGGGCGGGGACAGAGAGGGGCTGGCCTGGGCAGGGGGCGGGGACAGAGAGGGGCTGGCCTGGGCAGGGGGCGGAGACAGAGAGGGGCTGGCATGGGCAGGGGGCGGAGACAGAGAGGGGCTGGCCTGGGCAGGGGGCGGGGACAGAGAGGGGCTGGCCTGGGCAGGGGGCGTGGCCGGCGGGGAGGGTAGGGTCTGCAGGGCGAGCGGAGCAGGTGCACAGGTGAGGGCGGGCGTGGTGGGCGGGGCCTGCAGGTGCAGCCCGGCAGGTGGAGGGGGCGTGGCTGGCGGGGAGGGAGGGAGGGCGTGGGCTGCGGCCTGCGGGGGGCGCGGACCCTGGGACCCTCTGGACTTGGGGGGCTGCTGCGTGGGGGGCCGTGCTGCGCCGCGGGCTGAGCGTGCAGGGGAGGGCAGAGCGGTGGTCGCAGAGCCCAGGGGGCGCGAGGCCGGCCTCTGGAGCCCCCCGCTGCCCACCGGACGCCTCCTGGCCGCGGGGCTGGGCTCCGAAGCGCTGCGCTCGGCCGCACTGCCCACTGCTTTCCTGGGCACGTCGGCGGGGGGCTGCGGCCGGGCGCTGGGCGCTGGCCGGGGGAGCCCCATCTCGGCCCCCGCAGGCCGGACACGTCGGGCTGTGGCCGGGGAGGGGGCGGCCGGGGTGGGCCCTGCAGGGTCTGGGAGACAAAAGCAGCAGGCCAGGTGTGACAGGTGGATGCGGGGTCACCCACGCATGCCAGCTGGTCTCTGCACTCGTGCCAGGGTCACGCACCTCTCCGAGGCCCCGAGTTCAGACTGTTCCTCTTGGGGGGTTCCGCAGGTTTCCTTCTGGCTACCAGTTCCTCGGTGGAGGGGCGCAAGCCCTTCTGGCCCAGAGGGCCGGGCCTGCAGACGGACAGACATTTTCCTATCTGTAAAATGGGTCCAACACCCCTGGCTCCCCTCTCCGTTCGTGCCGAGGGATTTGTGCGAAGCCTCTCAGGGTGGAGGAGGTGTTGTGGTTACCTGGTGGTCCCCATGGTACGCCCTGGGCTAGAAGTGGAACCCTGGCCGGGGGTCCTGGCAGGGGGCCGCTCCCCTCTCCCCACTGCTGGGGGCCTGGAGGCTGCGGGGAGGGGGCAGAAGGTGGGGTCAGGGGTACCCCGGGAAGGGGAGGGCGACGGAGGGAGGTGGGGTGGGAACTGGGCGGCGGGGGAGCTGTGGTACCTGGGCTCCGGGGACCTGCCCCTGCACTCCGCCTGGCTGCCGCTGCTCCCGAAGCCCCAGCCGCCGCCTCTGGCAGCGCCGGCGAGCCCCTGCTGCCCCCTGCCCGCTCCCCTAGGGGCCTTCGCCCGGCAGCAGCCCCCAGCAGCCGGAGAGCCGCTGCCGTGACCGGGGGCGGGGGCCGAGGAGAGCCCGGGGGCTTGGGGCTGGGAAGGCTGGGAAGGCCGGGAGGGCGCGAGGCCGGGGTCCGCGTCGTCGTCGCCGCCCCAGCCCCAGCCCCAGCCCCCGCCTTGGTCTTGTCTCTCTTATCCATCGCGCCCCTGAGGAGGAGTCAGACTGGTCAGTGTGTGTCCCCCACCTCACCCCACGTCCCAGGGGGCTTGGCTGCCTGCAGGGATGTGGCTCCTGCCCCCCATCCCCCCCACCCCCTCCGCGCACATCACCACACATGGCGGCCTGGATCCGAGTCCCTGCATCCCGCACACGCTCAAAGCTGGGGGTGAGGAGGGGGACCCTGCCCGCCCCAGCCCCTCCCCGCGCACCCCTGTGCCCCCACAGCCTCAAGGGGAGCAGGGAGTGGGGCGGCCACGGGTTCCTGATACCAGCAACCCGGGGCTCCCGCCCGAGGAACCACGCCAGCCCCCGGCGCCCGTCCCCCAGTTTCCCCGGAGAGACGCAGGCACCTGCCAGCAGGAAGAGCCTCCCGGCTGCCCCGGGAAGCGGCTCTCGGAGACAAAGAGCCCCTTCCCGGCGGGCCCCGACCCTCCCGTTGGTTGCTGGGTCCCCCCCATCCGCCCACGCGCCCCGGGGCGCGCACCCCGTTCCACCTGCTCACCGCGGGTTCCGCTGCGCGCAGGGTCGGCCGGGGTGGGGCTCGGGCCGATCCGGGTTAGCAGCAGCAGGGTCAGGAGAGGAGGGGGCGCCGGCGGAGGCAACCAGGGGAACCCGGCCAGCCCCGCCCCTCAGCCGCCGCGGGCGAGGAAGAGCTGGGGAAGGGGCGGTGGGAATGGCGGGTGACGCGCCGGGAGCGCGGCCGGCGGGAGCGCGCCCAGGAGGTGGAGGGGGAGAGGGCGCGGTGCGCGCTGGAAGGGAGGGGCAGCTGGAAGGCTGCGCCTGAGAACCCTGAAGACCCTCGCGAGGGGAGGAGGGGAGTCGCTAAGGGACCCCCTCCACTTTCCCCCCCTCATCCCCGGCACTCGTTCAAGCACCTGCCGGGACCCTCCAGCCCCAACCACCTGGAGACCAAGATGCGGATAGGCTGGACCCTGGCAACCAGGAGGCGGGACCACCGCGCGCCTCTGGCCCACTGACCAATCCGGTCAGTCAGTGTCCCCGACCGGGGGGGGGGTCCTGGTGAGGGAGGGCCGCCCAGGGTCCCTTGGCACGCACGCACGCGCGCGCGCGCGCACACATAGACTGGGAGTCGGGGAACAGTTGGAGTAAAATAGTCCCGGCCAATGTAGGGAATGACAGATTTGGAGGGAAAGGGGGAGGGAGGAGAGAGAGAGAGAGAGGGAAGGCGCTTCTTCCTTTGGTGGGGGAAGGGGAGGGTGCCAAGCCCCTAGCTTACCGGAGGTCAGAGCCGGGCACGGCTCAGTGACGACAGCAGGAGGGAGGAGATAAGATTATGGCAGGAGCTGGAACGAGTGTGGGGGCCCTTTGGCCCAGAGGACTAAGCTGCCACCTGCCACACTGGCATCTCCGATCCCTGCGCCAACCTTAACCAGCTGCTCATCCAGCTCCTTGCCAAAGCACTGCCTGTGCTCCCCTGCCACCCACGAGGGAACCCCTGGCTCCTGGCAGCAGCCTGGCCAGGCCCTGGCAGTTGACTCTATTTGAGGAATTAATCAGTGAATGGAAAAATCAACCTCTCTCTCTCTCTCTCTCCGGTCACTCCGCTTTCAAATGATTATTTTATTGCATCAACGGATAGAAATGCTCCTGTCCCAGTGGCCCGGCACAGCTGGACAAGGGAGAATGGCAATCATTGGGTGACTTCATCAGCCGGCTTGCAGGGGCGCAGAGGGGATCTGAGCAGGGAGGCAGACACTTCACCCGCCTCCCATCAGCCTTCTGCCAAAGGCTGCCTTCTCCAGGACCTGGCCCGGTCAGCCCGGTCAGCCCGGTCAGCTGTGCGACTTCATTGGACACATCACATCCCTGTGGACTCAGTGGCCTCTCTCCCCATTCCATCCCAAACCACCAGCCTCTGCTTCCCCCCCCCCCCCGCCCCACACACACACACCTGGACAAGCCAGCTCACCTGCTCCTGGGACTCGGGGGGCTTCTGATCCCAGAACGGGAAGGGTCGCGGGAGGCAGCCCAGGATGAACCAGAGATCCTGAGGGCAAAGTTGTCCCCGCACAAGAGACTTTTCTGATGTCTGTGTGTAAGTGAAACGGGGTGTCATGCCCCAACTAGCTAATCCGCCACCTGCTAGCACCAGCATCCCGTATGGGCACCGGTTCACATCCCGGCGGCTCCACTTCCCATCCAGTACCCTGTTTGTGGACTGGGAAAGCAGTGGAGGACGGCCCAAAGCCTTTGGGATCCTGCACCTGCGCGGGAGACCCGGAAGAGGCTTCTGGTCCCTGATTTTGGATCAACTCAGCTCAGGCCATTGTGGCCGCTTGGGGAGCGAACTAATAAATGGAAGCTCTTTTTGTCTCCCCTCTCTGTAAATCTGTATTCCCAATTAAAAGAACTTTTAAAAGATGTGGTGAGACTCTGAAGTGGGCATCTCCTCCAAGGCCTTGCGTGCCACGGGTACCTGCTGCCCCCCACCCAGGGCTCTGAGAGCAGCAATGTCTCACGCGCCCTGGGAGCCCCATCCCCCTGGGTCCTCCCCTTCCAGAAAGTGACAGGCACGAGTTAGCAGCTACCGCCCCTTGGAGCCTCGTCCATGCCAAACCTGCAGCGACCTGCGGCCATTGGCTCCCTCGTGCCTCCTGGCTGGCTCACCTATTTGCTCCGCGCCTTTGCCCTCCCCGCCCTCCCCAGCCAAGGCTGCGGCTTAGACCCAGACCGTGATACCAACTCAATGCATCCACTCCCCTCGCTGGCCATGAGCTCCTGGACTCTGACGCCTGAGGCATAGAGCTGCCCAGGGGCCAAATGCTTGCTTCAGCACGCGGGGTCAGCCCGCCGGCTGGCAACCACGCTGCCTTCAGCGCCAATCTCACCAGGCTGGGCACGCAAGGACTTAGAGTGTGGCCCCCACACAGGCTTGTGTCAAGGGCAGGAATCAGACAGACAGCAGGGGGGTCTGTCGGAGGGGGGCCTTCCTCACTAATCTGCCATTGTGGACAGGTTTTTTTTTTTTTAATTTAAACTTTCCCTCCCCACAACATGGTCTAAATACAACTCCAGATGCCCCACCCACCCCCCCAGGCCCAAGTGGAGATTTGCTTATGTTTTATTTATCTGTTTCTGTTGGGGAAGGGAGGAATGGGAGGGGCAAGGCAATGTTGATCCAGGGGCAGGTCCGACCAAGGTTGGCTAGGGACACCCAGGTGAGCACCCCAACTTTGCTGGGCTTGCTCCCATCCCGCCCACAGCTCCTGCCCCACCTGCCGTTTTTGGTTCATCCCCTGCGCTTCGGCCAAGCTCGCAGGGGACGAGGTGGTTGCACCACGCGAGGTGACAGACGACCCCCCTCCCGTGGGTGCCTGACTCCGGCATCGTCCTCCAGCACCTGCCGGGGAGCCAAGCCAAGCTGCAAAGTTTCAGGGCCGGGAAGTTTGGGATTGCCGGCACGCGCGCTTGTCGACCTGGCCGCGCCCGCGGCAGGGCGGGACCGAGGCGGCCCCGGGAGGCGGGGTGAGGCGGGCCGGTTCCCCGGCTCCCTGGGCTCTTGTCCCGCCCGTCCGTCCTGACTCACCCCGGCCCGCCCCACCCCGGCCTCGGGAACTCTGCGGGAGTCCCGGGCCTCTCCACTCCCGGGGACCCAGGACTCCGCGCGCCCAGCGTCCATCCCGGAGCGGTGAGTCAGGGGTGGGGGGCTCTGCGCACCCATCTCCGGCTTCTGGAGGAGGGGTGGCAGGGTGCGGGTCGGGCTGGGACCTGGGGTGCGACCCAGGAGGAGGAGGAGGAGGAGGGCCGCGCTCCAGGTGCGCTGCCACTGTGGCCTGCGCCGGCTACCCTGACGCCCAGGAGCCGGCGGGGTGGAGGGTGTGCGAGCCGAGGCGCGCGCCCTGGGGGGAAACCACGCAGGCTCCCACAGCAGCACGTTAAAAACTAATCCTGGAGATCTTGACCTGTTTTAACCTTGCCAGGGAGCGAGCTGGGAAAGCAGCCCTTTTGGGGAGAGGGTGTGTAGAGAGCAGTGGGGTCCACTCCATCTTTAATTCTGAAATGCGGACGTGTGGAAAATGCCTCCTGGGCTCCCAAATCAGGCCAGATGCAACTTGTTAAGAGTCCCACGTTGGAAAGGCACCTGCTGGGTCCTGGCCCAACATTTGCTACCTGAGAAGTGACTCTCCCCTTGCCTTCTTTCTTCCCCCTGCCTCACTTTCCCTATAGTGTTAAAAAAAAAAAAAAAGGCTCCCTCGAGGCTTGGAAATGACTGGTTTCTCATTGGGAACTTCAGCCAATGTCAGGTTAGGGGTGATGAGGTGGGGGTGCCACAGGCACTCACCCACCCACCCACCCACCAGGCCGAGCCCCAATAGGGAGGGGGTCAGGACTCAGTGAGTGGCTGTATTTGGGGATGGTCTGAGAGAAGTAAAGCTGGGGTGAGGTATGCGGGTAGTCCCAGACTGCTAAGACCCCCAACCCCCCGTCAACCGCCACCCTTCCCTTCCCCAGCCATCACCTTCCTGCAGGTTTGACAAAATTAAAAAAAAAAAAAATACAGGTGCTTGAGGACAGAGTGGAGGGGCAAGGGGGCCCAGCTTGACAGCCACCTGTAACCACACGAACTCTTGGAAAAGTTGCATTCCTGAACTGCTCTGGCCCCAGAGGCAAGAAGGGGAAAGAGCTAGGGAGAGAATGTGTGGCCTGGCAGGTGCAAAGGGCGGTGTGTGCCGGCGGCCGGAGGGGGTCTGTCTTCAGTCTTTCCCCTCCCTGCTCCCTGACTGCTGCAAGCCCCTCTTCCCGGACTCCCCTCCCCCGCTAGCTGCGGGCAGACAGAGGTGGAGGGGCTGGTCTCCGGTGCATCTGCGGAGCTTTTAATGGCAGGTTTGAGATGTCCGACGTTGAGTCATGGAGACAGATAATGACCATTTGGGCGCTGAGGTCTGGGTCCTGCGTACGGACGGACGGATGCACCTTGCGTCCGTGGGAGCTGAAGGAAGGCGTGAGAGACCCTGACGGTCCATCCATCATCACTGCTGAGTACCTGAGGTGGCGGGAAGGACCCTCGGACGATGTGCCATGAATGGTGGCTGGGACATGGGACCGTGTGTGTGTGTGTGTGTGTGTGTGCCATGAATGGTGGCCGGGACATGGGACCGTGTGTGTGTGTGTGTGTCATGAATGGTGGCCGGGACATGGGACCGTGTGTGTGTGTGTGTGTGTGCCATGAATGGTGGCCGGGACATGGGACCGTGTGTGTGTGTGTGTGTGTGTGTGTGTGTGTGTATGTCGTGAATGGTGGCCGGGACATGGGACCGTGTGTGTGTGTGTGTGTGTGTGTGTGTGTGTGTGTGTGGCGGGTGCTTCTGTCCACAGAATGACTAAGCTTAGGGAGAGCCACTAGTAGCCGAAGGTTCCCGCAAGGTCTCTCCCAGGCTCCCACACTCCCACCCCAGCCCCGGGATGGCTGGAATGTCTCTCCCATTGGATGCTTGATGCCCTTGTCCTGCGCATGTTCCAAATGACCCCCAAGCTGTCCCTTTGCGTACATCCAGCCCCCATCCAGCCCCGCCAAGGCTGTTGAGCCACCTGTCTGCTACCGGATCAGACGCAGGAGTCCAGGAAGGCGCTTCCTTGTGTGTTGGACAGGAAGCGTTTAAGGAACAGGTGAGAGGGGCCTGTGTGTATGTGTATGCTGTGGATCCTGAAGGGGCTCAGCTGAAAGACCCCAGGGCACGCCAAGATGAAGCTAGGAGCCAGGAACTTCTTCTGGGTCTCCCACACAGGTGCAGGGTCCCAAAGCATTGAGCTGTCCTCCACGGCTTACCCAGGCCACAAGCAGGGAGCTAGAAAGTGGGAAGTGGGGTAGTGCCCATATGGGATCCCAGTATATGGCAATGTGAAGACTTTAGCCACTAGGCTACGGCACCGGGCCCACCCCAAAGCTTTGAAGGAACAGAGAGAGATAATACAGGTGGCTGAAGGGTAGGATAGGGTAGGGTGGGAGGCCTCAGGGCTGCCTGCCTGCCATGCTGTGCCCCCTGGCAAGCGAGTCATCCATCCATGGCCACACCAGCACACAGGAGAATGTGGGCGGCGGGAGCTCCTCCCTCCCTCCTTTTCCTTTCCCTTCCAGCACTTTGGGATGACTGCCCAGGGGCCTGTGTGTGTATTTTCAATAATGACATGTTGGTCTAAAGTGAAAGCCAGGGACAGAGTGGGCCGGCTGCCCAGCTTCAGCCTGGACGTAGGTATCACCCCGACAAGCCATCTGGCTGCAGTCCACCACTCCTGGCCCCGACCCTGCCCGGGTCCCCCCCACCGGGCTCAGCTCCCTTGGGAAAGTCCGGTATTTCGGTCACCACCTGCGGCTCGGGCCCTCCACCCCCACCCCGGGGCTGTCTGAGCCTCACCTTGGCCACTCCCTAACCCCTGAGGCCGCACGGAACCCAAACCTGGCTCTAGCCGGCTTTTCCGGTTGGAAGTTTGGAGGTGGGTGCTGGGAGCACACCCCCCCCCCCAGCCCGGAGAAGGGCAGGGGGAGGGACTCGAGCCCTGGAAGTCACGGCTGTCTGGGCTGGTGACCTAAGGGCTCCCCAACTGGGTCACAGATAAACGGGAGGGAAGAATGACAACGTCGGAATTTGGGAACAAAGTGACGCAGGGGGAGGGGAGGATTCCTGAGCTCAGAGGGGGCAGGGGAGCAGGTGACAAGGGGCGGGCGACAATGGCCTCTCCCCTTCCCTTCCACAGCCCCGGGAGGAGGGTGAGGCGCAGACCAAGGTGGAGGAGGTCAGGCTAAAAGGAGGGAACAGGTGCACACAGCCTGAGCCGTTCTGCTGGGATGCTCTCTGGTTTCCTTAAGTTTTATTTGCTTGCGCGACCCCTCATCTATTGGTCATTCCTCCAGGGTGCCCCGTGGCTGACCTGTGTGGGGAGGGGAGTGGATGGGAGTCCGGAGACCAGAGCTCCGTCCTGGTCTCCCACGTGGGTGGCAGGGACCCTACCACCTCCCAGGATGTGTGTGCATGAGGAGGAAGTTAGAAGGAGGACCCCAAGCATCCCATGCAGGGTCCGGGTGGTAGCCGGGTCACGTGAGGATTGGGGGGCGCACACCTGGGGCTTATGGTGGGGGTAGGAGGACCCCTCCTGGTGTCCCCTCCTCCACAACCTCTCCCTGTCCAGGTGGCGCGATGATCCCCGTGGCGGAGTTCAAGCAGTTCACGGAGCAGCAGCCTGCATTCAAGGTGCTGAAACCCTGGTGGGATGTGCTGGCAGAGTACCTCACCGTGGCCATGCTCATGATTGGCGTCTTTGGCTGCACCCTGCAGGTGAGGGGTGGGCCCCCCCACACCCATGCAGCAGGGGCGTGGCCAGGCAGGGAGGGGAGGGGTCAAAGGCAGGGGGGTCAGGAAGCCTTGCCCTGGGTCTGTAACCCGCAGGGCAATGCAGATCCCCGTCCTGGCTACTCTTGGGAGCTCAACGTTACCCTGGCATTCGCTGCTAGAATCTGGAAATTCCTTTTATCTGAAAGGCAGAGTTAAGAGAGACAGAAAGAGAACAGAGAGCTCTTCCATCAGCTGGTTCATTAATGACTGGAGCAGGTTAAAACCAGGAGCCAGGAGCTCCACCTGGGTCTCCCACGTGGGTACCAGGGACCCACTCCCTGGAGTGGGCCAGCCTCTGCTGCTTTCCTAGGAGCTTCAGCGGGGAGTTGGATGGGAAGTGGAGCAGTCAGGACTCGAACCACTTTAAGGTGGAGGATTAGTCTGTTGAACCACGATCTTGGTCTGGGACTTCAGTATCTTTTCTGGAAGGTGACGCAATTCAACCCAAGTTCTTGTTGATGCATTCATTCAATGCTTAGCCGGTGCAGTTCTTCCAAAAGGCTCACCCAGGCTCAGGGCCCCTTCCTCCCACCATCATCTCCCACCGTCATCATCTCCCCCCACCATCATCTCCCCCCCACCATCTCCTCTCCCGCCATCATCTCCCCCCCACCATCTCCTCTCCCGCCATCATCTCTCCCGCCATCATCTCCTCCCTCCCTCCCGCCATCCGTAGGTGACACAGGACAAGATCATCTGTCTGCCAAGCCATGAGCCCCGGGAGAACGTGTCGGAGGCCCCGTGCCAGGAGCTGCTGCCGCGGGGGGTGTCGGAGCAGATCGGGGGGCTCCGGGAGGTCAGTGGCCTCAAGAACAACCTAGACCTGCAGCAGTATAGCTTCATCAACCAGCTGTGCTACGAGACGGCCCTGCACTGGTACGCCAAGTACTTCCCCTACCTGGTGGTCATCCATACGCTCATCTTCATGGTATGTACCAGCTTCTGGTTCAAGTTCCCGGGCACCAGCTCCAAGATCGAGCACTTCATCTCCATCCTGAGCAAGTGTTTCGATTCACCCTGGACCACGCGGGCCCTGTCCGAGGTCTCCGGGGAGAACCACAAGGGTCCAGTGGCTGCCAGCGGCAAAGGTGCGGCCACCGGGACGTCTGTTGCTGCCACTGCCGCTGCCGCTGCCGCCGCCGCCACCACCACCCATGCAGCCGGGAGCGGGCCGGGCAAAACGGGCGAGGGTGAGAAAGAGAGGGAGAAGGTTCTGGTAGAACCCGAAAAGGTGGTGACCGAGCCGCCCGCCGTCACCCTGCTGGACAAGAAGGAGGGTGAGCAGGCCAAAGCTTTATTCGAGAAGGTCAAGAAGTTTCGCGTGCACGTGGAAGAAGGGGACATTCTGCACAGAATGTACATCCGGCAGACGGTCCTCAAGGTGTGTAAGTTCTTGGGGATCCTCATCTACAACCTGGTCTACGTGGAGAAGATCCGCTTCCTGGTGGCCTGCCGGGTGGAGACGTCCGAGGTCACGGGCTACGCCAACTTCTGCTGCAACCACACCAAAGCCCACCTGTTCTCCAAGCTGGCCTTCTGTTACATCTGTTTTGTGTGCGCCTATGGCCTCACCTGTCTCTACACGCTGTACTGGCTCTTCCACCGGCCCCTCAAGGAGTATTCCTTCCGCTCGGTGCGGGAGGAGACGGGCATGAACGACATCCCGGATGTGAAGAACGATTTCGCCTTCATGCTGCACCTCATCGACCAGTACGATTCGCTCTACTCCAAGCGTTTCGCCGTCTTCCTCTCGGAGGTCAGTGAGAGCCGCCTCAAGCAGCTCAACCTCAACCACGAGTGGACGCCGGAGAAGCTACGGCAGAAACTGCAGCGCAACGCCCGGGGCCGCCTAGAGCTGGCCTTGTGTATGCTCCCGGGCTTGCCAGACACGGTCTTCGAGCTGAGCGAGGTGGAGGCGTTGCGCCTGGAGGCTGTGGGTGACATCACCTTTCCTCCGGGACTCTCGCAGCTCGTGCACCTGCAGGAACTCAGTCTGTTACATTCGCCCGCCCGGCTGCCCTTCTCTTCGCAAATTTTCCTGCGGGATCGGCTCAAGGTGATCCGAGTCAAGTGTGAGGAGCTGCGGGAGGTGCCCCTGTGGGTGTTCGGGCTGCGGGGCCTGGAGGAGCTTCATTTAGAAGGGTTGTTTCCTCCCGAGCTAGCCCGGGCAGCCACCCTGGAGAGCTTACGGGAGTTGAAACAGCTCAAGGTGCTGTCGCTGCGGAGTAACGCAGGCAAGGTGCCAGCCAGCGTCACCGACGTGGCTGGCCACCTGCAGCGGCTCAGCCTGCACAACGACGGGGCCCGCCTGCTGGCGCTCAACAGCCTCAAGAAACTAACGGTGCTGCGGGAGCTGGAGCTGGTGGCGTGCGGGCTGGAGCGTATCCCGCACGCCGTCTTCAGCCTGGGCGCGCTGCAGGAGCTGGACCTGAAGGACAACCACCTGCGCTCCATCGAGGAGATCCTGAGTTTCCAACATTGCCGGAAGCTGATCACGCTGCGGCTATGGCACAACCAGATCGCCTATGTCCCCGAACACGTGCGCAAGCTCCGGAGCCTGGAGCAGCTCTTCCTGGCTTACAACAAACTGGAGACGCTGCCCAGCCAGCTGGGCTTGTGCACCGGCCTCCGGCTGCTGGATGTGTCTCACAACGGCTTGCGCTGCCTGCCTCCCGAGCTGGGCCTCCTGCAGAACTTACAGCACCTCGACGCCTCTTACAACGCCCTCCAACTCCTGCCCGACGAGCTGTTCTTCTGCCGCAAGCTGCGCACGCTGCTGCTCGACTACAACCAGCTGAGCCACCTCTCGCCCCACGTGGCGGCCCTGGGGACCCTCAGCCGCCTGGGGCTCAAGGGCAACAGGCTGGAGGCGCTGCCCGAGGAGCTGGGCAACTGTGGGAGTCTCAAGAAGGCCGGGCTGCTGGTGGAGGAAGTCGTGTATCAGGGCCTGCCTGCTGATGTGCGAGAGAAATTGGAGGGAGAATGAACGGGGCAGTGGGGGGCATCTGGCAGCCCCCCCTCCCCGACCCCATTGAGGCCTTTAGACGTTCCGTCTGTCCCTATGCTTCCAAGAGAGGTGGCTAAGCCAGGGGAGAGGAACGGGGTGCCTTGGGGAGCCCCAGGTGAGATCTTGGGGCTGATTCAGGTGGGGCGGGTCAGGCAGCTGTGGATTCAGGGTGGAGCAGGCAGAGAGGGAATTAACCCTGTCCTGGGCGTTTCAGAGACCAAAACCACACACACCTGTGGCTCAGCCCCTCCCTTGAGGCATTCTAGCGTCATCCAGGCCCCTCCTACAGGGCGGAGGGCACATCCCATCCTAATGGGAGGGCACAAGCATCAGGCACAAGACCCTCCCTTCCCAGCCCATCAGAGAGACTGGTTAATCCTTGCTTTTGGTGCCACAAATGGACTCAATGTTTCTCACGCTGGGATGGGTGCTCAATTTGGAGCTGGCTCCAGGTCCCGCCCTGCGAAGACTGACTCAGGAGTGGGCGGGCCGGGGGCCCAGGCAGCTGTCTGTGGATGAACAGTGCCCAGGTAACTGTGGTGGGTGGTCCCTCCTTGGTACTTAGCAGCGAGGGGCAGGCAACACTGGGCTTAAGATGTTGGGGAGTGGGGTGCTTTGAGAGGGAAGAACCCCTGGTTCTTTCTGCACAAGGCTTTGGACTACCCCTTGCCCCCCCACAAGAGCTGTCCGTGGGCTTTCCAAGGCTGGCGGACTCCGGGGTGAGAACTTTTTTTGTTGTTGTTGTTTTTCTTTTGAGGATGTGTGGTGGCCTTACCGGGAGCCACCTAATAAACATGATGGATCCATGGACAGCTCACGAATTGATCTTGCATGTCCACCCCTCCCCACCCCATCGTGGGCTAAGCCGATTCCTACAGACTTTTGCCTGCTGCTCCCCCAGGTGGAAGATGCAACCCAGAGGGAAAGAAATCCAAAGAGGGGAGGGAGGCCTTGGAGAATCAGAAGGAGAAGCTGAAAAACCCAGAGGAGCTTCCACCACGGGCCTTGCAAATCAGATTCTGAGATCCCCAGAAACGATCAGGACTCTGAGGTCGATCCATGTGCACAAGGCTGGTTTATCGAAGCTCAGCACAGCCGAGCCTGGGGTCTTGGTTGAGGGGAGGCAGCTGGCTGACCGGCACCCCTTACCAGGAGTGCCGACCCCCCCAAACAGCACATTCATAGGTTTTTTTTTTTTTAAAGATTTATTCTTATTATTTTTTCATTGGAAAGGCAGATATACAGAGAGGAGGGACAGAGAGGAAGATCTTCCATCCATTTATTCACTCCCCAAGTGCGCGCAACGGCCGGTGCTATGCCGATCCGAAGCCAGGAGCCAGGAGCCTCTTCCGGGTCTCCCACGCGGGTGCCAGGGTCCCAAGGCTTTGGGCTGTCCTCCACTGCTTTCCCAGGCCACAGGCAGGGAGCTGGATGGGAAGCGGGGCTGCCGGGATTAGAACCGGCGCCCATATGGGATCCCGGGCGTGCAAGGCGAGGACCTTTAACCACTTGCGCCACCGCGCCGGGCCCCATATTGAGGGTTCTTCACTGCAGCCTTGGAGCTCAAGTGGACACGGCACAGCCTGCCTGGCCTTGAGAGCTGAGGCTCATCCACCTGCAGCGTGGCCACGCTGCCCTTCCCGCTGGGGTACCTGCCCAGGGCCTCCCGTGACCAGTACCAACCCCAGCGTGCACACGTGCGTGCAGGAGCTAGCTGGGTTAGCTTCCCCACCGGGGAGGGCAGCAGACCAGGCCCTGGGTCCTGTGCAAGGAGCTGCAGGTCAGGGGCGAAGCAGCATCACCCCCTAGGCACGCCCCTCCACATGCGCACACACACACACACACACACACACTTCGGTCCTCGACCCTAATCGAAGGGATTGAAGCTCTGACAGGACGCCGCTGACCGAGACCCAATCGGGAAGAGCAAAAACGCTGGAAGACTGACCACAGGTGACCTGCAGCCGAGGCACCTGCCGTGCGCATGCGCGACAGGCATCACGCCGCGCCTCCCCCGCCCGCGCGTGCGCCCAGGACGCATGCGCGTCGCGGTCCCCGCCTCCTGCGGGAGGGAGGGAGGGAGGACGACGGAGTGGGCGCATGCGCAGCACGGCGTTGCTGGTGGCGGGGAAGACAGGCGGCGTGGCCCGTTTCCAGCCGCGACCTCTAGGTGGCGCGATCCTCGGTGGTGGTGGGGGGGCGCTGAGCCGCAGCGCGCAGGCGCGGAGGGTCTCCCGCGTGGCCGGGGCGGGTGCGCGCCGCGGGCATGCGCCCTGCGGGGCGAGACGGCGGCTCGGCGGGGTCATCCGGGCGCAGGCGCAGTGCGGTGTTTGTCTGGCGGACTTGACGGGCGGCCGGGCGGTGCGCGGCGGGGAAGATGGCGGCGTCCTCCCTGGAGCAGAAGCTGTCCCGCCTGGAAGCCAAGCTGAAGCAAGAGAACCGCGAGGCCCGGCGGAGGATCGATCTCAACCTGGATATCAGCCCCCAGCGGCCCAGGCCCAGTGAGCACGGCGGCGTGGGGGAGGGGGCGCGCGGGGCGGGGACCCCGTCTGCAGGTCCCGCCCCCGCTTCCGGGGCGCCCCAGCTCCTCCTCCTCCTCCTCCTCCTCCTCCTCGTCCTCCTCGTCCTGCTGTCGGTCGGCTCGCGGTGGGGGGGGGGTGGAGACAGGAGAGCGGGGTGACGGGTCCCTGCGAGCACCCCGATATCCCAGCCCTTGTATGGCAGTGAGTGTCAGGACCCCATCTTTACAGCCCCCCGCCCCATCCCTGGCTGGGCAGCAGCTTGTCATGCGGGGAGCGGCGAGCAACGCTCACGACTGGGTTGGGGTTATGCACCCCGCTACACAGGCGGTGCACCCCCCTACACAGGCAGTGCATCCCCTACACAGGCGGTGCACCCCCCTACACAGGCAGTGCACCCCCTACACAGGCAGTGCACCCCCCTACACAGGCAGTGCACCCCCCTACACAGGCAGTGCACCCCCCTACACAGGCAGTGCACCCCTACACAGGCGGTGCACCCCCCTACACAGGCAGTGCATCCCTACACAGGCAGTGCACCCCTACACAGGCGGTGCACCCCCCTACACAGGCAGTGCACCCCTACACAGGCAGTGCACCCCTACACAGGCAGTGCACCCCCCTACACAGGCAGTGCACCCCTACACAGGCAGTGCACCCCTACACAGGCAGTGCATCCCCTACACAGGCGGTGCATCCCCCTACACAGGCAGTGCACCCCCTACACAGGTGGTGCATCCCCTACACAGGCGGTGCACCCCCCTACACGCACACACACGTACACACTCCCGGGTGTCGCATCCTAAAGATCTTGATCCTGTCATGGGGAACCCTCCTGCACTTAGGACAGCCACCTCCATGGGGCTCACTCGGCAAGCCCCCACCCCCCACTGCCCATCTTCATGTACCAGCCCCTTCAAACCCAGGTAGCTAGCCTGTTTCCTGTCCCTTGGGGTGTAAGGCCCGGCTCCCTCGTGGGTCCGGTCCCTTGGACCTTGGGATGTAAGGCCCGGCTCCCGCGTGCGTCCTGTCCCTTGGACTTTGGGGTGTAAGGCCCGGCTCCCGCGTGCGTCCAGTCCCTTGGACCTTGGGGTGTAAGGCCCGGCTCCCTCGTGGGTCCGGTCCCTTGGACCGTGGGGTGTAAGGCCCGGCTCCCTCATGGGTTGGTCAGTGCTTGGCACCCCTTCTCCGTCCACCTGCCAGGGTGCTACCCGAAGGCAGCGTGACTCTGTCTCCTGGGTACCAGCTCCTCTAGCCAACATGCCCACTTAGAACTTGGGCTCCTCTGGAGGGTCCCACCCACCCAGCCCCGCTCCCTTGGGATAGATCTTACCTGTAGGCTCACCTTAGGGGTGGGGTGGGGGGAAGGACCCCATAGTGCAGCTCAGGGGGCGGGTGACCATGCCCGGTGGCAGCGTGGTGGGCAGGTCCCAGGAGCCCCCTGCAGGTGTGTGTGTCTGTTTCAACATCATCTGGCTGCCCTCCCATCTCTGTCTGTTCCTCCTCCCATCTCTGCAGTTTCCGGTACCTCGCGCCTACCTCCCCCAGACCACCCCACTCCTTACCCCCGGCCCCCCCACCGTCCCCACTCCTTCCTCCCCTCCTCCTCCTCCCTCGTGGCGATTTGATTTCTATTCTGTTGGCCGGATCGGGCGTTTCCTGCTGTAATTGATCGTGCTGTTGTTGTTGTTTTTTTTTTTGTTTTATTTTTCTTCCTTTTCCCCCCCATCCAGTTATTATGATCAGTCTAAGCCCCGCTCCTGCTCCGTCCCAACGAGCAGGTACCAACCTTTATGTCATCGTCTGCTTGGACACCCGCACCATCGACACCTAACCGCTGCCAGGCTGCAGCATGGCCCCCCGCCCCTCGCCCCGCCATGCTGCGTGCGTGTGCGTGCGTCCGTGTCTGTCCGTCCCGTCCACCCTTCCTCTCGCTCTCACTCCACACGGGCGGCCGGCCCTCTTCCCCACTCACCCTTCCTAGGCTCGGGTTGGACTGCTGCCTAGGGAAGGACACGGGCTGCCTTACTGTGTGGAAGTCCGTGGCCTGCCGACAGGTGGGGAGCGAGTGTGTGTGTGTGTGTGTGTGTGTGTGTGTGTGTGTGTGCACGTGTGCAAGAACAAACACAAGCCCAGCAAGAATGAGCTATCCGAGCAGCCCCACGATCGGATGGGCACGTGGCTGCACGCAGGGACACCCCCTGGCGGGCAGGGAGCGCGTGCCCTGTGGACAAGAAGCTCCTAGTAGTGGGGGAGAGATTGACTGTACAAGAGGGCCCTGTGTCAGGGGGCGCGCAGGAGCGAAAGTCCGGGAGGAAACGCCGAACAGCCTTGCTCGAGTCCCCGCCGGCCACAGGCGCTTGCGTGCTGAGACAGACGCAGCGGTTCTGAGCGAGAGGCGTGTCTGCGGGGCGGCGTAGGGGCTCTCCCACACGTGGAAGTGTGTGCCAGAAGGAAGGACGTGTGCCGTGTGCACGCATGTAGCCGCACATGTGTGGGAGTGTCTGCCGTGTGGCCAAGGAGGGTGTGCATGTGTGGGGGGGAGTGTGCCATGCACGTATGTGCTTGCATGAGTGTATATGTGTGCATGTGTGGGAGTGTGCACCGTGTGACGGGCAGTGTGCACCGTGTGTGGGAGTGTGCACCGTGTGACGGGCAGTGTGCACCGTGTGTGGGAGTGTGCACCGTGTGTACCGTGTGACGGGCAGTGTGCACCGTGTGTGGGAGTGTGTACCGTGTGACGGGCAGTGTGCACCGTGTGTGGGAGTGTATGCCGTGTGACGGGCAGTGTGCACCGTGTGTGGGAGTGTGCACCGTGTGACGGGCAGTGTGCACCGTGTGTGGGAGTGTGCACCGTGTGACGGGCAGTGTGCACCGTGTGTACCGTGTGACGGGCAGTGTGTACTGTGTGTGGGAGTGTGCACCGTGTGACGGGCAGTGTGCACCGTGTGTGGGAGTGTGCACCGTGTGACGGGCAGTGTGCACCGTGTGTGGGAGTGTGCACCGTGTGTGGGAGTGTGCACCGTGTGACGGGCAGTGTGCACCGTGTGTGGGAGTGTGCGCCGTGTGACGGGCAGTGTGCACCGTGTGTGGGAGTGTGCACCGTGTGACGGGCAGTGTGCACTGTGTGTGGGAGTGTGCACCGTGTGACGGGCAGTGTGCACCGTGTGTGGGAGTGTGCACCGTGTGACAGGCAGTGTGCACTGTGTGTGGGAGTGTCTGCTCTGTGACGGGGCAGTGTGCACCGTGTGTACCGTGTGACGGGCAGTGTGTACTGTGTGTGGGAGTGTGCACCGTGTGACGGGCAGTGTGCACCGTGTGTGGGAGTGTGCACCGTGTGACGGGCAGTGTGCACCGTGTGTGGGAGTGTGCACCGTGTGTGGGAGTGTGCACCGTGTGACGGGCAGTGTGCACCGTGTGTGGCAGTGTGCACCGTGTGTGGGAGTGTGCACCGTGTGACGGGCAGTGTGCACCGTGTGTGGGTGTAGCGTGTGACGGAGTGCCGTGTGGGAGTGTGCACGTGTGCGCAGTGTGCACCGTGTGTGGGAGTGTATGCCGTGTGACGGGCAGTGTGCACTGTGTGTGGGAGTGTGCACCGTGTGACGGGCAGTGTGCACTGTGTGTGCTTGCACGTGTGTGTGTGCACCGCGCATGTGCTCATCGGACAGGCAGCCTGTCTGTCCTTCGCTGAGTCCACAGCTGTGTACCCCTCCATGGCCTCCTGCTCCCATTCTCATTGCTTCCACCTCTCTGCCCTCCTCCTCCATGTCCTCCCCACCAGCCCCCCCACCTGCTGCGAGGCCGTCATCATTGCAGATCTCTTTAGGGCCTTTATGTGACACACCCCCCACCACACACACTCCCCTTACCTCCTGTCACTCAGGCCCCCACTCCCGGCTCTTACCTCGCCCCAAGCTGTGGGCCTCCGGTGGGGGCCTGTCCATCGGGAAGGGCCCAGGACGTCCACCCCTAGGGTCCCTGGTGCAGAAAAGGGCTCAGGTGCAGGGGTTGGACACCTGGGAAGGGCTGGGGAGGGAGGTGCCCTGCAGCCTTTTGCTGTGCCCCTGCCAGGCCCAGGCTGGGGGAATTGAGGGACTTGGCACCAGCCCGGGGTACTGGCCACACTCGGGGTTGCAGGCCAGTGGGTGGGAACCTGGCTGCCGGCACCTCTGCTGCAGACCTGTTGGTTACTGAGCGGTTCTGGCAGCCCCGGGGTGGGGGGCAGGGCGGGAGCCAGCACCCATTGGGAGGGTGAGTGATGGGTGAGCCTTCCAGCTTCCAGGGGACCCCAAGCTCTTCAGGGCTCTGCTGCCCTCTGTCCTGGCCCGGTCTTGGCTCCTTCTCTGTCTTGTCTGTCTCCTCCCCCCCCCGCCCCCTAACACCGCCTGCCTATCCTGGGGTTCCCGCTGCCTGCCCGCTGCCTACCTCCCTGCCTGTGGCATGCCCAAGCTGTCCGCATGCCGGCTGCTGGAAAGAGCCCACCCCCTGCCTGGCCCGAGCCTCCCCCTGCCTGGCCCGTGCCTCCCCCTGCCTCCTGCCAGCCTCAGGGCGCAGGCACAGGCGCTGCCTGGCATCCCCCGTGCCCTCCAGCCCTACGTGGCCCTGGTTCCGTTTGCCTGTGAGTCAGGCGAGGCAGGCAACCCAGGTCCTGGGTTCTGTGCCTGCCTCCTGTCCCCCGCCCAGGCCTAAGCGCCCCCTGGCAGAGGTTCTGCTGCCCCACCCCTACCCCGGGCTCGCAGTGTGGGTGTGGCGGATGAGGGTGCCAAGTGTGCCCAGGGCCCTCCACCAGCCCCCCTCATCACTCTGTCAGCCTAGGCTTGGGGACGAATCCTCAAGTCTCCAGGGACGCCCCTCGCCTTCCAGCCCCCTCCCTTCCCTCATTCTGGGTCCAGGGTGGGGAGGGAGTCCTCGGCTCCCCAGGGCTGGGAAGGGAGGTTGAGAGAGTCCCTACCCCCTCCCCCTGCACGGGGCCAGACCTCACCCCGGGCGCACCCCTGGTTCTCACCCCCCCAGCCCTGCAGCTGCCGCTGGCCAACGATGGGGGCAGCCGCTCGCCGTCCTCCGAGAGCTCCCCGCAGCACCCCACGCCCCCCGCCCGGCCCCGCCACATGCTCGGCCTCCCGCCCACCCTCTTCACGCCCCGCAGCATGGAGAGGTGAGCAGGGCACCGGGCCGGCCTGGCCAAGGGACCCCAGGGCTGGGAAGGGCTGCCGGGCAGGGGGAGTGCGCTGAGCCTCCACTAGCACTGTCCGTGTCCCGCCTCCCCAGCATTGAGATCGACCAGAAGCTGCAGGAGATCATGAAGCAGACTGGCTACCTGACCATCGGGGGCCAGGTACCCCCCCAGCCCCGTGTTCTGCACCCCGGCCCCGGGGGAGGGAGGGCAGAGGGGGCAGGCCCTGGGGACGCTGCAGCCCTCGCTCTCCTGGCCAGCGTTACCAGGCGGAAATCAGTGACCTGGAGAACCTGGGCGAGATGGGCAGCGGCACCTGCGGCCAGGTGTGGAAGATGCGGTTCCGCAAGACGGGCCACGTCCTTGCCGTCAAGGTGAGGCGGCACCCCTCCCTGCCCCCCACCCGCTCTGGTCAGGGCCAGGCCCCTGCACCCCGGCGGCAGCCCCTCCAGCCCCGCGCTGCAGCCCCCCCCGCTGCAGCCCCCCACCCCTGTGCTGCAGCCCACCCAGCCCTGTGCTGCAGCCCCCACCCCTGCTGCAGCCCACCCAGCCCTGTGCTGCAGCCCCCACCCCTGCTGCAGCCCACCCAGCCCTGTGCTGCAGCCCCCACCCCTGCTGCAGCCCCCCACCCCTGCTGCAGCCCACCCAGCCCTGTGCTGCAGCCCCCACCCCTGCTGCAGCCCCCCACCCCTGCTGCAGCCCACCCAGCCCTGTGCTGCAGCCCCCCACCCCTACTGCAGCCCCCCACCCCTGCTGCAGCCCACCCAGCCCTGTGCTGCAGCCCCCACCCCTGCTGCAGCCCCCCACCCCTGCTGCAGCCCACCCACCCACTGCTGCAGCCCCCCCAGCCCCGTGCTGCAGCCCCCACCCCCGCACTGCAGCCCCCACCCCCGCACTGCAGCCCCCACCCCCGCACTGCAGCCCCCCACTCCTGCTGCAGCCCCCACCCCTGCTGCAGCCCCCCCCCTGCTGCAGCCCCCCACCCCTGCTGCAGCCCCCACCCCCGCACTGCAGCCCCCACCCCCGCACTGCAGCCCCCACCCCCGCACTGCAGCCCCCCACTCCTGCTGCAGCCCCCACCCCTGCTGCAGCCCCCACCCCTGCTGCAGCCCCCACCCCTGCTGCAGCCCCCCACTCCTGCTGCAGCCCCCCACCCCTGCTGCAGCCCCCACCCCTGCTGCAGCCCCCCACCCCTGCTGCAGCCCCCCACTCCTGCTGCAGCCCCCCACCCCTGCTGCAGCCCCCACCCCTGCTGCAGCCCCCCACTCTTGCTGCAGCCCCCAACTCCTGCTGCAGCCCCCACCCCTGCTGCAGCCCGGAGCTGAGGTGCCCCCGCTCCCCACAGCAAATGCGGCGCTCGGGCAACAAGGAGGAAAACAAGCGCATCCTGATGGATCTGGACGTGGTGCTCAAAAGCCATGACTGTCCCTACATCGTGCAGTGCTTTGGCACCTTCATCACCAATGTAAGCCCCGCCCCGAGGGACTGCTTGGCCCCGCCCTCATGCCCAGCTCCGCCCCCACGCCCCAGCCACGCTCTGTGTGCCCATCTGGCTCCACCCCCACCCAGCCCCTCCCCTGAGCCCGCCTGGCTCCGCCCAAGCCCCACCCCCAGCCCTCCTGGCCCCGCCCCTGAGTCCTCCTGGCTCCGCCCCAGCTCCGCCCCCTTGAGCCCTCCTGGCTCCGCCCCCACGCCCCAGCCACATCCTGTGAGGTCATCTGACTCCGCCCCTACTCCCCAGTCCCACCCTGTGGGCCCATCTGGCCCCGCCCAAGCCCCGCCCCATGAGCTCTCCTGGCTCCACCCCAGCTCCGCCCCCTGAGCCCTCCTGGCTCCGCCCCCAGCCCCTCCCTGAGCCCTCCTCTCTCCACCCTGTGAGCCTTGCCTGGCCCCGCCCCAGCCCCGCCCTGAGCCCTCCTGGCTCCGCCCCAGCTCCGCCCCTGCGCCCTCCTGGCTCCAGCCCTGCCCCCTGAGCCCTCCTGGCTCTGCCCCAGCCCCGCCTAGTGAGCTCTCCTGGCTCCGCCCCAGCCCCACCCCTGAGCCATCCTCGCTTCGCCCCAGCCCCGCCCTGAGCCCTCTTGGCTCCGCCCCTGCGCCCTCCTGGCTCCAGCCCCGCCCCCTGAGCCCTCCTGGCTCCACCCCAGCCCCGCCCAGTGAGCTCTCCTGGCTCCGCCCCAGCCCCGCCCCCTGAGCCCTCCTGGCTCCGCCCAGCCCCGCCTCGTGAGCCCGTGCCCGGCCCTGGTGTCTCAGACCCTCCCGTTGCGTGCCCCGTGTGCCCTGCAGACAGACGTGTTCATCGCCATGGAGCTCATGGGCACCTGCGCCGAGAAGCTCAAGAAGCGGATGCAGGGACCGATCCCCGAGCGCATCCTGGGCAAGATGACGGTGGCGGTGAGCGGCCCAGCCGGGCCCCGGGGGGCCGGGGCGCGAGGGGGGCCGGGCGGTCGCCCCAGGTGCCGGGCTCACCACGGCCGTGTCCTGCAGATCGTGAAGGCGTTGTACTACCTGAAGGAGAAGCACGGGGTCATCCACCGCGACGTAAAGCCCTCCAACATCTTGCTGGACGAACGGGGCCAGATCAAGCTGTGCGACTTCGGCATCAGCGGCCGCCTGGTCGACTCCAAGGCCAAGACGCGCAGCGCTGGCTGTGCCGCCTACATGGCCGTGAGTTGTGGGGGTGGCCCACGACGGGCGGGGGGGACCCCCGGGAGGCCAGCTGCCCCCCCACACCCCTCCTGGGGTACATCTGCCGCCTCCCTCCCCGCAGCCCGAGCGCATCGACCCCCCGGACCCCACCAAACCTGACTACGATATCCGGGCGGACGTGTGGAGTCTGGGCATCTCCTTGGTGAGTACGGCCTGCCCGTGTGCGCGCCCAGGGCCAGGGGGGCACCAAGCCGGGCAGGTGGGAACCCTGCCTGCTCCTGCACCATCCAACCATTTGCACGCCCAGGGCCCAGGGGGGCACCAAGCCGGGCAGGTGGGAACCCTGCCCGCTCCTGCACCATCCAACCATTTGCGCGCCCAGGGCCAGGGGGGCACCAAGCCGGGCAGGTGGGAACCCTGCCCGCTCCTGCACCATCCAACCATTTGCGCGCCTTGGGTCAGGGGGACACCGAGGGTGATGGGCGGCTGGGTACCCCGCCCACCCGTCCCCACGCAGTGCCAGTGGGGCACCGCCCGCTCCTGCATCGCCCACCCACCCTTGTCCCCTCCTCCGTACAGGTGGAGCTGGCCACGGGGCAGTTCCCTTACAAGAACTGCAAGACGGACTTCGAGGTCCTCACTAAAGTCTTGCAGGAGGAACCCCCGCTCCTGCCAGGCCACATGGGTTTCTCGGGGGACTTCCAATCGTTTGTGAAAGACTGGTGAGGACTGTGCCGCCTCTGGGGGGGGGGGCACCGCGGGGCTGTTTCGGGGGGGGAGTTTGGGCGTGGTGATCTCTGGAGCTCTGTGTGTGTGCCAGCCGGGCTGCCCGCAGACTGCGGCCCCGGGGAGTGGGCCCTGCCCACCCTGCTGGGCCCGGGTGACTGTAGGGGCGCTTGGCTGGCCTGGCTGGGTCCCACCCACCCCCGCAACCATCAGAGGCTCGAGAAGGCTAGGAGCTGTCACAGGTCGCTGAGTCCCGACCCCGGCAGCAGGCTGACCCCTTCCCGGCTCTCCCCTGTCTGTGCCCTGCCTCCTTGCAGCCTTACTAAAGACCACAGGAAGAGACCAAAGTATAACAAGCTACTTGTGAGTACCCCGGCACCCGCGCCCCCCGCCCAGTCCTGGAGGAGCACCCCCCTGGTCCTAAGCCGCATCCTTCGGGCCCCCAGGAACACAGTTTCATCAAGCGCTACGAGACCCTGGAGGTGGACGTGGCCTCCTGGTTTAAGGACGTCATGGCCAAAACCGAGTCGCCCCGGAGCAGCGGCGTGCAGAGCCAACCCCACCTGCCCTTCTTCAGGTAGCCGTGTGGCAGCGGCCAGCCCTCCCCTCTCCCTCACCACCGGCCCACCCCCTCATCCCCGCCCAGCTGCCTGCCTGGGCAGATCTGGGGACCCTGGACGGCCGCCGAGGCCGAGGCCGAGGCAGGGCGGAGGACAGCCGGGAGGGGGCGCCCACCTGCCTGCCTGCCTGCCTGCCTGCCTGCCTGCCCACCCACCCGGCCTGGGCTCGGCTGGCTGGCTGGCTGGCCGGCCGCGCGGCCCCAACAGACACTGTGAACGGAAGAGGGCAGGCCGCAAGCGGACTCGCTATTTATTCAGTCGGAACCTCCAGGCCGGGGTGGCAAGAGCCTTGCGCCCCGCACCCCCTGTCACAGGGCGAGGCCCCCCCACCCCTGCACATGCCCCTCCCTGCCCCCCCCACGCCATCCCTGTGTCCCTGCCTCTGTCCTGGCCCAGGACGCACTGTGGGTGTGATAGGTTGTGGCCACCCCAGCTGGCTTCTCTTCCCCTCCTCTGCCCCCCCCCCTTCTCTCTCCCTCTCTCTCTCTCTTTGATCTCAGGGGGTCCTTTTTTGGAGTTTAATGTATTTTATTGTACTGGGTGGGGCGCTTGGGAGAGGAAAGGAGGAGCGCTTGGCATGGGGTTTGTGAGTCCCTTCCCAAGTTTTACCAAAGTCAGGTTTAGCTGCTTGAGAAGAAGGTTGCGGGCGTGGGGGTGGGGGCTGGCAGCCCAGCTGTGGCTCGTCCTCAGGCCTGGCTCTCTCCCCCCCCCCAGCCCCGGGGTCAAGGCACGGTCACAGCCAAGCCAAATGGAGCTCAGGGGGGTGGCGCGGGGAGCCCAGGGGTGCTGCAGCCACCCAGGGAGGCCTTCAGGGAAGGTGGGTGCAGGTGCGGCTCTTACGGGGGCATGGCAGGGCGCTGCCCGGAGTGAGGAGGAAGAGCCCGTAGGGAGTCAGGAATGGAGGGCCAACGGAGTGGATGTGGGGGTTCGCGGAAGTGTGACAGGTGTGCGCCCACGCCCCTCGGCCTACCCCCCCCCCAGGGCCGGTCCCTGGGAGTCCGCTGGCCGTGACCGTGGCGGTGGCGGCCACAGTGGCGATGGCCAGAGCAGGACAGGACCCGGGAAGTGTGCGTCCTCTTGGTTGGCAATGGCCACAGACCAGGTGGGCTGGAGAAGCAACCAGAACCACAGACAGAAAAATCCCAACTGCACCAAAGCGAGGCGCCTCGCCAGGGCTGGCGGGGGGCCAGGAGGCCTCCCGGGGGGGCCCACGGCAGCCACTCCCCTCCCCCCCCCGTGACATGCTGCATGTGTCCCCCGGAGTAGCCGTCACACCGCCCTCCCTTCCCCACTCGGCTCCTCGTGGCGGGGGCCCCCCCGGAGTCCCAGTGCTGCCCACCCTTGGGCCTGGGCTGGACCTCCCGGTTTGACTTTTATTTAAACTTTGACTCTCCGTTTGTGTGTGTGTGTGTGTGTCCACCCTTCCCTGACCCTTCTCCTCCCTTCAGTGTCGGGCGGGGAGCCCAGGGGTGACGCTCTCCCACCTTCCCGCCTGTCCGTTGCTCTCACCAGCCACCGCTCTGGACGAGGCCCAGGGTGGACGGGGTGGGCCGGGGTAGGGTGGTGGTGCTGGGGCTTGCACGGCCCCGGCCCACCCCGGCTTCACGGACGCCCCCCCCGTCCCCCCCTCAGGCTGCCAGTGTTGTCCGTCCCTTTTTCAAAAATGAGACGTCCTTGTTTGTTAACTCTGTAGACGCTTCAGAATAAAACCCCTCGTTTTTCCTCCAGGGAGTCTGGTGTGTGTATCTGTCACCACGGGGGGCAGGGGGGTGTCTGGCAGGGAGCCCTGGAGAGGGTCAAGCCAGGGGGGCCCAGCCCGGTGCGCCCCCCCCACCCCGGGGATGCTGAGACAGTGCTGGGGGCTGGCAGGGTGGAGACAGGCAGCCAGCTGTTCCCCCTCCATGCCCAGCTCCCAGGAAGCTCTGACCTTCTCATTACTGCCTGTAGCAGGAACCTTTAATCCCACAAGGCCTTGGGAGCCGGCTCTGATGTCCCTTTCTTGCTTGGTCCACCACCCCCGCTCCCCGCCCACCCCGGGTGGCCACACACAGCTTGCCCTGCTGCCACCCCTGGGCACTGCGACCTCCCGCTGGTGCAGCATGCTCGGCCCTGCCCTCCTGCTGCTGCTGCTGCTGCTGGGCCTCCTGCCCGGGGTCGGCCCCTCGGCTGGCAGGCCACTGGGTACGTACGGATGCCTGCCTGCAGGAGCCCTTGGACGAGTGAAGGGGTGTCTGCCCAGCTGGGCGCCTCCTTAGCAAGTCACAGCCAGGAGACCCCACAGCGTCTCTTGAGCATCTGCTGCCCCCTCCCTCTCACGGCCTTTGCCTTCCCTGTCACCACAGGTGACCACCTGCCTCCCTATAGAAAGGGGGAGCCGCCTGGGAGAAGGGCAACACCCCATCTTCATCACCCAGCCTCCGGGGGGCAGGCACAGGATTTACCCTCCCCGGCATGTGGGGCGCTGTGCCCGGGGGGGTGGCCGCTGGACCAGGCTGTGCAGTAGGGGAGCGAGGGGAGTGACCTGGTTAAATCCAGGCCCTGTGCCTCAACCACATCCCTTTTCGGAAGGAGCCGGCCAGGAGGTGGGGGAGACAGAAAGGGGAGGCAAGGGAGCCGGGCTGCGTTACCCGGGGCACAAGGAGCAGTTCATTCCCTCCCCCAACCCTGGCCAGCGCCCCCTTTCCCCGCGTTGGCGCCGGGGCCCTGGTTGCGTAGACCCCTGTTCAGTTTGGAGCTGTCGGAAGCCGAGGACGTCTTCCCGCGCCGCGGGGGACCGCTGGAGGTCCCCGCTGACAGCCGGGTCTTCGTGCAGGTGCGGATAGCCAGAGGCCCTGGGGCTCCTGGGGGGGGGGGGCAGGAGGAGGCCTGGGGACCCTGATGGGATGGATGACCTGTCCTGGGGGCTGGGAGTCAAGAGGAGGTGTCCAGGGGGCTGGGGGCAGGAGGAGGCGGTGGCCTGGGGACCTTGATGGGATGATGGCTGTATCCCTCCCAGGACCGGTCCAGGGGGCTGGGGGGCAGGAGGACGCCTGGGGCCCCTGAGGGATGGATGATGGCTGTATCCCTCCCAGGCGGTCCTGGTCCATCCAGGGGGCTGGGGGGCAGGAGGAAGCGGTGGCCTGGGGACCTTGATGGGATGATGGCTGTATCCCTCCCAGCCAGTCCTGGCCCCTCCCGGGGCTCCTGGGGGGCAGGAGGAGGCCTGGGGCCCCTGAGGGATGGATGGTGGCTGTGTCCCTCTGTCCCAGGCGGCCCTGGCCCGTCCGTCACCTCGCTGGGGCCTGGCCCTGCACCGCTGCTCCGTGACGCCATCCTCGCGGCCCACCCTGGGGCCAGCCCTGGTGTTGCTGCGCGGGGGCTGCCCTGCTGACAGCTCAGTGGCCTTCCAGCCCCCTCTGTCGCCCCTGCACCCTGGTGCCATCCTCCCCGTACGCTTCAGTTTCCGCCTGCGCCCGGTCTTCAACGCGTCCGTGCAGTTCCTGCACTGCCAACTGAGCCGCTGTCGCCGCCGCCTCCTCCGGGAAGGCCGCCGGGCACCTGCACCTCAGACGCCCCTGCCACCTTTGTGGGTGAGCGCCACGAAGCGATTGTTCGGGGATTAGGGATCTAAGGGCGAGGAAAACAAAGAGTTTTGGGGTATAGAAAGGGAGGGCAGGAATATATGGGATCTTAGACTGAGGGGACCCCCGGGGCAAGGGCTCCCCTGTGGACACAGCTCCGGGAGACGGAGGGCACGTTCACAGATGCCCCCTGGTAGCCTCTGGGCCGCGGCGGAGAGCTAGCGTCTGTTTGGAGTCCTTCAGGAAGCAAATGCCAGGCTTTGAAGTCCCCCCCGCGCTTCCCTTTGCCAGTGCCCGTCTCAGGGTGAGGCGTGCGCCGGCGGTGGCGGCAGCGGCAGCAGCAGCGGAGGTGGCGAGAGCCCGGGTGCAGAGAGCCCGCACGTGCACACGCTGACACAGCCCATCGTGGTCACCGTGCCGCGGCCGCCCCCCAGTGAGAGAACGCACGGGGGTCCCTGAGGTTGCAGGGTGGTGTGTGTGTGTGTGTGTGTGTGCATGCATGGGGTCCTGAGCCAGGTCTCAGCGTGCTGCTCCATCCCCAGTAGGACCACCCAAGGGCGTCCCGGGCAGGGCCGTGCGGCCGCCGAAGCCGCCCTCGCCAACCCCCGCAGCCCTGGAGCCCGCGCCCGTGGTGGCCCTGGTGCTGACCGCCTTCGTGCTGGGAGCGGCGCTGGCCGCAGGCCTCGGCCTCGTGTGCGCGCACACAGGTACCCAGCTCTGCCCTGCTCCGGGGAGGGGTCTCCCAGTCTAGGCTCGGCTGTCGCCCCAGGGGTCTCCCTCCCTAAAGCGGATCTCTGGCCGGGGAGGGGAGGGCGCTGACTCCCGGGGCGCTGCGTGCTCCTCTCTCCAAGCACCTGCGCCCCCGAGAGCCTCGCCCTGCGTCCCGCTTCCCTGCTGCCCCGGAGGTCCCAGTGAGGCCGGTAAGAAACGGGGAGGTTAGCGGGGAGGGGCGGTATCGGGGACCCTTCAAAGCGTTTGGTGCTTTACGCACGTACACCGGGACCAACCGCAGGCAGACACTTTAAGGTGGAGAAAACCAGGCGCCCTTGGACACCCCGGGGCGCCGGGCTGGGGAGCATGGTCCCCAAACCCTCGGATAGGAGCATTTGGGGTTTGGAACCCCTGTTCCCGCGTTCATCCCTGCCTGTGGACTCACGCAGGAGGCCCATCGTGTGCGGGGCGGGGATGCAGGGGGGCGACCTGCATTGTGCACCCCGCTTTCCCTTGTCCAAACACCGCGCGCGCCCCTGGCAGGATCCGCACATTCGCCTCCAGCCCCCCAGCACAGGAACTAGGCTCGCCGGAACAGACCCTGGACCCGGAGGGACCACCACGGCTCCCCCGTTTCTCCCCTCCTCCTTTTCCTCTGCCCCAAATAAACGTGTGCACTGGTGGGCTGTGTCCGTCCAGTGCACGCGACGTGGCACTGGGTGCAAGGGCCCAGCCGGAGGGGGATCTGCACTGGGAGACTGCGTCAGGTGGCCACGATCGATCGTCGGGGGGGATCAGGGGTCGATCAAGGGTCTCCCCACCCGTGCCCCTTGCCTCCTCCCGCCCCCACCCGTGCCCCCTCCCGCCCCAACCCACCCGTGCCCCTTGCCTCCTCCCGCCCCCACCCGTGCCCCCTCCCGCCCCAACCCACCCGTGCCCCTTGCCTCCTCCCGCCCCCACCCGTGCCCCCTCCCGCCCCAACCCCCCCGTGCCCCTCGCCTCCTCCCGCCCCCACCCGTGCCCCCTCCCGCCCCAACCCACCCGTGCCCCTTGCCTCCTCCCGCCCACCCGTGCCCCCTGCCTCGGTCTCCCGACCCACCCGTGCCCCTTGCCTCCTCCCGCCCACCCGTGCCCCTTGCCTCCTCCCGCCCACCCGTGCCCCCTGCCTCGGTCTCCCCCCACCCGTGCCCCCTGCCTCCTCCCGCCCCATCTTCACTTCAATGCACGCCGCCTGCTGCACCCCTCTCCCCTTACACTGTCCCCAGCTGCTAGTTCACTGCCCTCCAACGTCCCAACGGCCAGGGCTGGGCCAGCCGGGGGTCTCAGACCCCATCCAGGTCTCTCCCACGCGGGTAGCCGGGTGCCCAGGCACTGGGGGCCATCGCCTGCTGCGTCCCAGGGCGCGCGGGAGCTCCCTGCTGGGGTCAGGCACTTCAGAGGTGACAGACAGGGAAACTGAGGCTCGCGGGAAGGCCCGCAGGTTCCCGGGCCACTTGGACACTCCCATCCCCTCAGCTAGGCTCGGCCTTGCCCGTGCCCGGACAGCCGGCCCTCGCGTCGCCCTGTCCCTCCAGTCGCCCTGTCCCGCCCCTGCTGCCCACGCGGGCGGCGCGTCCCCGTCCACTTCCGCCTCCGCGCCGAGCTGTCTTGGCCGCGGCGGCCGCCGTAGCCCCGCCCCCGAGCCGCAGCCCCGCCCCCGAGCCGCAGCCACGAGTGCGGCGCAGGCGTTCGCTGGTAGCCCCGCCCCCGAGCGCGCAGGCGTTCGCTGGTAGCCCCGCCCCCCGAGCCCGCGGTCCCGAGTGCGCAGGCGCTCGCCGACCAGCATGAAGCCGCCGCCGCGGCGACGCGCCACCCCGGCGCGCTACGTGGAGGAGGCGACGGGGCCGCAGGCCTGGAGCCCGCACGAGAAGCGGCAGCTGCTGCAGCTGCTGCAGGCGCGGAGGGGACGGCCGGAGCCCGACGCGGCCGAGCTGGCCCGGGAGCTGCCGAGTCGCAGCGAGGAGGACGTGAGCGGTGGGGCGGGGCCTGCGCGGCGCGGGGGCGGAACTGAGCGGCTGGGGCGGGGCCTGCGCGGCCTGGGGGTGGGGCCTTCGTGGCGTGGGGCGGGGTCAGAGAGGCTGGCCTCAAGCGGGAGCTGTGCGCTGCTTAGGGGCGTGGTCTTGAGCGGTGGGGCGTGGCTTGTGCAGCGTGGGGCGGATTCGCGTGGCTGACCTAAGGAGGCGTGGCCAGGGTGTGGGCGCGGCTTGGGGGCGTGGCCGCGCATGTAAACAGGGCGGGGCCGGGGCGCGCTCACCTGTTAGGTGGGAGTGACTCAATCACTAGGTCCCATTTGGGGGTCGTGGGCCAGAGGGGAGGTGTGGGAGGCCCCGGTCAGCCTGCCCTGCTCTGCCCTGCTCGGCTTGCCCTGCTTGGCCTGCTCTGCCCTCCTCACCCTGCCCTCCTCAGCCTGCCCTCACCCTGCCCTCCTCTGCCTGCCCTGCTCTGCCCTCCTCAGCCCTGCTCTGCCCTCCTCACCCTGCCCTGCTCTGCCCTCCTCACCCTGCCCTGCTCTGCCCTCCTCAGCCATGCTCTGCCCTCCTCACCCTGCCCTCCTCTGCCCTGCTCAGCCTGCCCTCCTCTGCCCTGCTCAGCCTGCCCTGCTCTGCCCTCCTCACCCTGCCCTCCTCTGCCCTCCTCAGCCTGCCCTGCTCTGCCCTCCTCAGCCTGCCCTCCTCAGCCTGCCCTCCTCACCCTGCCCTGCTCTGCCCTCCTCACCCTGCCCTCCTCTGCCCTGCTCAGCCTGCCCTGCTCTGCCCTCCTCACCCTGCCCTCCTCAGCCTGCCCTCACCCTGCCCTCCTCTGCCTGCCCTCCTCTGCCCTCACCCTGCCCTCCTCTGCCCTCAGCCTGCCCTCCTCTGCCCTGCTCAGCCTGCCCTCCTCTGCCCTCCTCACCCTGCCCTCCTCTGCCCTCCTCACCCTGCCCAATCTGCCCTCCTCACCCTGCCCTCCTCTGCCCTCCTCACCCTGCCCTCCTCTGCCCTCCTCACCCTGCCCTCCTCTGCCCTGCTCAGCCTGCCCTCCTCACCCTGCCCTGCTCTGCCCTCCTCAGCCCTCCTCAGCCTGCCCTCCTCTCCCCAGATCCACGACTTCGTGCGGAGGCTCAAGGCCCGCGCGCTCCGAGAGGCGGTGCAGAGGGCGCGTCGGGGTGACCCGCGGGGGCCTCGGAGCGAGGCGCAGACCCCGGCGCCCATCGAGGTGAGGCGGGGGTCCCGGGTGCAGGAGGACCTGGGGAGGACGGGGGGAAGGGAGGCTCACCCCCGTCTCGCCCCCGCAGGTGTGGCTGGATCTCACGGAGAAGATCACAGGCCCGCTGGAGGGAGCGCTGACCACGGCCTTCTGCCAGGTACTGCCCGGGCAGGGCTGTGGGACGCAGGGCGGGGGGCAGGGGTGTGTGGGTGCAGAGGTGTGTGGGTGCAGGGGGCGGCTGGGTGCAGGGGTGTGTGGGTGCAGGGGTGTGTGGGACGCAGGGGTGTGTGGGTGCAGGGGGCAGCTGGGTGCAGGGGTGTGTGGGACGCAGGGGTGTGTGGGTGCATGGGGTGTGTGGGACGCAGGGGTGTGTGGGTGCATGGGGTGTGTGGGTGCAGGGGGTGGCTGGGTGCAGGGGTGTGTGGGACGCAGGGGTGTGTGGGTGCAGGGGTGTGTGGGACGCAGGGGTGTGTGGGTGCAGGGGTGTGTGGGACGCAGGGGTGTGGGATGCAGGGGTGTGTGGGACGCAGGGGTGTGTGGGTGCAGGGGGCGGCTGGGTGCAGGGATGTGTGGGTGCGGGGGTGTGTGGGTGTATGGGGTGTGTGGGTGCAGGGGGCGGCTGGGTGCAGGGGTGTGTGGGTGCAGGGGCGGCTGGGTGCAGGGGTGTGTGGGTGCAGGGGTATGTGGGACGCAGGGGTGTGTGGGTGCAGGGGGCAGCTGGGTGCAGGGGTGTGTGGGTGCAGGGGCGGCTGGCGCAGGGGAGGCCCAGGCGGAGAAGCGCCCCTTTCTTCCTTCCCGCCGAGTTGACAGGGTGGGAGATGGGGGTTCAGGCTGCATGCACGGGGGGCGGGGGCGCTGCAAGCAGTGGCAGGTGAGAGGACGCCCCCTTCCGCCCGCCAGGCACTCACCATCGCCACCACGGAACCCACCAACCTCCTGCACTCCAAGCCCCCCAAACCCACGCAGGCCCGTGGGAAGCCATTGCTGCTGAGTGTCCCCGGCCCCGAGGCAGCTGGTCCCACCGCGGGGGCTCCGGGCTGCGCCCCCAAAGTGCCTGACCCCGCCCCCAAAATGACTGACCCCACCCCTATAGTGCCTGACCCCGCCCCCAAAGTGACTGACCCTGCCCCTATAGTGCCTGACCCCGCCCCCAAAGTGACTGACCCTGGCCCTATAGTGCCTGACCCCGCCCCCAAAGTGACTGACCCTGGCCCTATAGTGCCTGACCCCGTACCCAAAGTGACTGACCCCTCCCCTGAAGGAACTGACCCCACCCCCAAAGTCACTGGCCCCGCCCCCAGGGCAGCTGACCCACCCCTCAAGGTGCCTGACTCCACCCCTGGTGCACCTGGGCCGGCCCCTATAGTGACTGACCCCGCCCCCGATGCTCCTGACCCACCCCCTGAGGCAGTTGGCCCCGCCCCCGAGGTGCCTGGCCCCGCCCCTGAGGCAGTTGGCCCCGCCCCTGAGGCACCTGCCAAATCCCCTGGCGGAGACTTCACGGTGGATTTTGAGAAGATCTACAAGTACCTGGCCTCCTCGTCCCGCGGCAGCCAGGGTCCTGAGCTCTCGGCTAGCGGTAAGCCGGGGCTGGGAGGGGAAAGCAGAGGGGTCGGGTGTGTGTGTGTTCTGGGGTGCACAGAGCAGACCCCCTCCTCACGCCTCCCCCCCGTCTGCCCGTGCCAGAATCGGCCGTGGTCCTGAACTTGCTCATGGCCCTGCCCGAGGAGCTGCTGCAGCTGCCCTGCACCGCGCTGGCCGAGCACATGGCCCAGACGTATGAGCACTTGACGGCCCCTGAGCGCAGCCCCGCCGCCGCCGAGGGGAGCCCCGAGGCCCCGGCCAGCCCCCGAGCCCCCGCAGAAGCTGGGCCCAGCGCTCCGAGGTCCCCCTGGCACACAGCTGGCATCTGTCCACTCAACCCATTTGCGGTGCCCTTGGAGCTGCTGGGCAGGGTGGCCAGCCCCACAGGGTGAGCAGCTGGGCGGGCTCGGGGCTGCCAGTGGAGGACATGAGGGAGGAGCCAAAGGGGGTGCTGGGCCCCACCCCAGGGCGCCACCTGCCATGCTCTCAGCCCCTGCCAGCCCCTGCCCCCTTGCTGTGCCTTGAATAAAGTGCTTGTTTTATGTTGGATTCCCGGAGTGGGAGAGCTTGGGGTTTGGGGACCCTGCATGGGGTGCGGAGGTCCAGGCCCTGTCCAGGGTCACCTTGGTGAGAGGCGTGGCTGAGGGGAGGAGAGCTGAGCCAGGGGCCAGGGCGACAAGTGTGTCAGCGGTCAGGACAGCGAGCCAGCCAGTGTCCTGTGGTGACGGTGGGGACGGGGAAGCAGCAGGGTCAGGGAGAGCTGTATGGGTGGGGTAGGTTGGGTGAGCTGGCCAGAGTGTGTGTGTGTGTGTGTGTGTGCTGGGGGGGTGCTGCAGGCAGGGGAGTGAGCCCCCTGGGGGGCTTGCAGCTTTAGGGACAGGAGAAGTGAGGGGCAAGGCTGGGGAGGGGGCGTCTGGAGCCATGGCACCTGCCATAGCCGTGTGTGTGTGTGTGTGTGTGCTGGGGGGGTGCTGCAGGCAGGGGAGTGAGCCCCCTGGGGGGCTTGCAGCTTTAGGGACAGGAGAAGTGAGGGGCAAGGCTGGGGAGGGGGCGTCTGGAGCCATGGCACCTGCCATAGCTCTGTGTGTGTGTGTGTGTGTGTGTGTGTGTGTGGCGCGGGGGAGCCAGGCATCCTCCCAGGCTCCCGCTGAGCGGTGGCGGTAGGTTCGCAGTTGGCAGAGCCCCGTGCCTTTTATAGACAACGCGCGCTTCTCCCCACATGGCACACAGCCCCCCAAGAGCGGGCGGGGGGGCCCCGCCACACATCCCACGGGCAGGCGGGCGGGCAGGCGGGCAGGCCCTGGAGCAGAGCCAGCCTGCCAGCACACTGCTCCACACACACAGTCCTGCTTCCAAGGCAGGAGGGAGGGGAGGAGGCCACCTCCAGGACTGGTCAGGGCACCCCGAATTCCCAGGAGCCAGGGAAGGAACCTGGGGAGGGAGAGAGGGAAGGAGGCCACCTCCAGGACTGGTCAGGGCACCCCGAATTCCCAGGAGCCAGGGAAGGAACCTGGGGAGGGAGAGAGGGAAGGAGGCCACCTCCAGGACTGGTCAGGGCACCCCGAATTCCCAGGAGCCAGGGACAGAACCCAGGGAGGGAGAGAGGGAAGGAGGCCACCTCCAGGGCTGGTCAGGGCACCCCGAATTCCCAGGAGCCAGGGACAGAACCCAGGGAGGGAGAGAGGGAAGGAGGCCACCTCCAGGGCTGGTCAGGGCACCCCGAATTCCCAGGAGCCAGGGAAGGAACCTGGGGAGGGAGAGAGGGAAGGAGGCCACCTCCAGGGCTGGTCAGGGCACCCCGAATTCCCAGGAGCCAGGGAAAGAACCCAAGGAGGGAGGGAGGGAAGGCAGATATTGCCCGGAACTTGGGGTGGTCCTGGATTCAGGAGTTTACAAGCCTCTGCCCACCTGTGTATGTCGGGGCCCCCTCCCCTCCCCACGGGACTCGTGGCACGTGGCAGCAAGGAGTCTCCCGGACCCCCAAAATGGACCTGCCAAGGGGGACATGGTTCCTTCTCAACACGCCACTGACAGGAGGTGCCAGCTCAGCGCGTGCATGCAGTAAGCGCTCAGTCACAGCTTTTATTCTCATCACCGCCATCGCTCAGAGAGGCAAGGGAGGAGTGACGAGGTGTGGGGGTGTGGCGGGGAGGGGGGCCGGGGGAGCCAGGCTGGTGCTGCATCTTCGGGGAGTGTGCAGTGGCCACACGGCGCGCGGGGGTCCAGCGAGCCTGTCCGGCAGGGCTGGAGCCCGCGCTCAAGTCACGGTGGAGGAACCGGAGGTTACAAGGACCACAACAGGGGTGCGGGGGACCGGGGAGTCCCCACCTCCGGGGGTGGACATGACACTTGTGACCCACCCGGAGGGGAAAGGGCAGTGCTGGTCCCACGCTGGGGCCGGGGAGTGGGCGCGGGGTTGATGGGGGGGGGACCTTCCTGGCCTTCAAGGTCAGCCAGGAGGGTGACTTTGGGGCAGGGCGTTAGGGACAGCGTCGAGAAAGGCACAGGTGAGGTGGCGAGTGGGGGTGGCTCCAGCCGGGCCAGAAGGGGAGACACGAGAGGGCCCCTCTCTCCCTGCTTCCCACCGCCGTCTCAGGGTGCTGGGTGGGGGTTCCCAGCCCAGTCCCTCCCCGGGGCAGCCCTGGGGCGCCGCGCCCCCCCACCCCGTCCTCACACCAGCGCGTAGTCGAACTGCCCGCGTTCCAGGGCCTCCTTGTGGTCGGTCCAGGATGAGGCGGGCATGCGGCTGTAGGGGTCCAGCAGGATACGCACGCAGCGCACCATCAGCAGCACCAGCACCACGAGCAGGCAGAGCACGAAGGCGAACACGGTGCGCTGCTCGGCGTCCAGGCCTGCGCCCACCGGGGGCCCCGTCGACGGCGGCAGCGGCTCGGGCGACAGCGTCCACGCCGCGCTCATGGCTCACATCGCCACGCTCGCGCGCGCGCGCGCCCCCTGAGAGAGGAGAGAGCAGGGATGAGGCCCCTGCGGGAGGAGGGAGCAGGGATGAGGCTGCGCCCTCCCACGCCGCCCGCCGCCACCATCACCCCGACTCCCGGCAGCCGCCCTCGCCACCGCCGCCCGTCCACTTCCCGGGGAGCCGGCCACGTCCCCCGCCCCCCGACATCGGGCGTATCTCGGGGTGAGGGGAATGGGTGGGTAGGGGGGTCCCCGCCGGCCAGCGCCCCACATCCATCCACCCATCCTCGTGCGCGCCAAGGCGGTGATGGGGGGACACCGGACCCCGAGCCGCCCGGCCTGGGCACAACAGGTGCGAGTGCGCGCGGCCCCGCGGCGTGGGTGGGCGCGGGTGGGCGCGGGTGGCCGTGGCAGGGCCGAGCTGCCCGCGGCGCCCACCTCACCTCGCTCGGGCGCCCACCTCGCTCGCGCTCTTTGTTCTCGGTGGCCCGGGACCCCCTCCCCCCACGGCCGCCGCCCCCGCCCCGGCGCGCGCCCCTCACCCTCGCCTCCACCTGGACGCGGGCGCACAGACCGCCTGCTCCCGGTTCCGGCTCCGGCTCCCGCACAGCTCCGCTCCGGACCGCACCCCGCCGCCGGCGGCCCCGGCTCAGCCCACCCCACCCGCCCCTGGAGCCGTGGCGACCGAGGCGGGCGAGGCGCGCGCGAGCCGGGCCGCCGCCGCCGTTCCCATGGCGACGGGGGCGGGCCCGCCAAGGATGCGCGCGGGGAGCGGGGAGCGGCCGGCTGGGGTGGGGGGGGGACCCCGACTCTGCTCCGGCCTGCGGGAGCCCACCCGCCCACCTCCCCGCTCCTCATCCTGCCGGGACCCCTGGGCGGACCAGCGTGCCCACCCCCCAACAATGGACACCTTTCACGGCTGCTGTGGTGATGGGGTCCCCCACATGCAGGTCGCAGGGAGTGGTACCCTGAATCTTCATGCTCCCCCATCTTCCCCAATCCCTGGGCGGCCTGCCATCCCCTTCCCCCAGACACTGACGCCCCACGCGGCTCCTCCGCAGTTGGGTCTGTTTATTAGCTCAGCTGACGTACGGGAAGAAGGGCAAGGGCGAGATACAAAACGGGGCCTCGGGTGGTGGCCGGGCTGTGGCCGCCACCGCCGTCTCGGGCCAAGTCCGCGCCTGCTTGGATCTCGGGGGCTGGGTGGCCTCCCCCACCCCCCGGGGAGGGTCCCTGGCTCGGAGGGTCCCTTGGCACCTGCGACCCTGCTCAGTGCCGGCCGCCAGCAGCCCCACGTGGCCCCGGGCGGGGCGCGGTCCTCGTCCAAGGTGCTCTGGCAGCCCGGCTGGCGGCCCTGCAGTCCGGTGGCGCCGCGGGCTGTGCGTGCCCTGTTCTGGCCGTTAGCTGGCAGCGCGGGGGGGAGGACCCCCGGCCCCGACCCGGGCCCCTGGACCCCCGGCGGGCTGGTGGCTCAGAGGATCTGCTCTGTACTGGAGGCTGAGATGTCCAGGAGGCGCCAGGCTGCGTAGGGGTTCAGTTCGTCCTGGTCGCGGCAGAGCGCCCACACGTACAGCATGCGCAGTACCTTGTCCTGCACACACACACACACACACACACACACACACACCCCACAGGGGCGGTGGGCTCAGCGCGGTGGGGGGGGGGGGGACGCGCCCTGGCCCGCCAGCAAGTCGGGGCTCCCGTCCACTCACCGGGTCGCCCTCCACCACCTCGCCCCTGGGGTTCCTGACCACCATCACCAGCTGCGCCTGGAAGGTGACGATCAACACGGGGCCCTGCTCCATCATCTTGCCCATGGCCAGCTGTGGAGGGAGCACGCGGGACGTGGGTCCTCTGCCCACCCAGTACTCTAAGGCCCTGGCCTCCGCCCAGCCCAGCCCGTGCACCCCGCTGTGAGCGTCCATTCTGAGCTTGCTGGCACAGGAGGTGTGTGTGTGGGGGGGTAGTACCTGGGTTGGCCAAGTCCCCACAGTCACGGGGATCGTGCCGGATGCCCGGAAGTGGGACCCCTTCCCCATGAAGGTGCGGGCAAGAGGGGGTGGTGCTGCGTGGGGTTTGGCATGGGCAGTGCCCAGCAGCTGCCTGGGACTTTTGCCCTGATGCATGGTCCCCCAACATGGCACACCTCCTTCAGCCACAGTGCCCACAGCGAACCCCGGATACCACCTCTATTTGTGTGCCACCCACGCACTGGGGAACTGGGATCAAGGCGGTTCATGGCCGCCACGGGGGCCCACCTGTGTGCCTGCTCCCCGGGCCCTGCCCACGCCCTCCTGGCCCGTGCCCTCGCCCTTAGCCCCTGCCCACGCCCCCGGGCCCTGCCCACACCCCCGGCCCCTGCCCACGCCCTCCCGGCCCCTGCCCACGCCCCCGGCCCCTGCCCAGGCTCTGGCCCTGCCCACGCCCTTAGCCCCTGCCCACGCCCCCGGCTCCCCCGCACGCTCACGTCAACGTTGTCGATGTCCAGGATGCGGGAGTGAAATTGCAGACCCAGGGCCTTGGCCTGCTGGATGGGGTGAGCCAGCTGGCTATACGTCTACGAGGAGAGAGGAGGGTGTGAGAGAGCCGTGTGCAGCTTGGTCCCGACCCCCCCCCCAGCCCGCCTCAGGGCCACCCCCCCCCAGCCCTGGCCCACCCCGATGAGAACACCAAGGCTTGATCCAGAGCCCGTGCTGGCAGCCAGCAGCCCTCCCCGCCATGCTGGCCCCTGGCGGTCACGGCCACGGTCATTGGGTTCATCTCCGGTGTAGCCAGTGACCGACCAGATCTGATCAGCTGAGGGGTGAGGAGGTGAGAGGATGATGGGGGGGCGCATGGGAGTGGGTGGGAGGAGGGCAGGGTGTCAGGCCTGCAGGTGCAAGAGTTTTAAAGATGACTTTTTTTTTTTTTTTAATTGCTTCCCGTGGAAGCCACGGGCAACTTGGGCTGCGATGGTAGCGGCCACGGGGAGCTGCCTGGCCGAGGTCACGGGCCTCAGCGTGATCCTTCTAAGGGGGAATCAAAACAACGACAGGAAAGAAAGCGAGGAAGAAGAAGCCAAACTCAAAAGCTGCCTGGCGGATTAGTCACGGCCCAGGGGAGGGTTCGCCAGGCACTCCGACAGCGCTGCCTCCGCGCGCTCCAAGTTCTTTTTGCGAGTTGGCTGCAGAACGGGCCGAGCCAAAAAAAGCCTCGAGCTGGGGCTTTGCCCAGGGGAGGCCGCAAAAAAAAAACCTCCAAAGAAAGTTGAGGCCAGGCCTGATGCGGTCAGGGAGTTGGCAGGGTGAGGGTGAGGTGGCCGAGTAGCCAGGGCAGGCGGCGGCCCCAGGACCTTGGGCTTGGCCCTTCCGGTACGCGGCAGCTGGGGCGCCATCGGGACACACTGGCCCTGGACAGGAAGTCCTCCGAGGGTCTGTTTTGGGTGTGTGTGTGTGTTGGGGGGAGCTAGAGGACAGACCCCTCAAGGGTGGTGCTGGGGAGGTTCTGGGGCTGAGCGGGTACGTGCAACCACACACATCCCCCCTGACCCCCAACCAGGCATGGTGTGTGGGGGAAGAACCCAGCCCGTACCCCAAGTCCAGCTGGGCAGCGGAGCCTGCCTTGTCTCTCTAGGGGAGGCAAAAGACGGGATGTGGGGGCAGGCGGAAAGGGGCTGCCTTGCAAGACCCCGGCTGTCCCTCGGGCGAGGGAAGGATGTGCTGTCGGGTGGGGGGCCCAAGGGGTGGCCCCCCGGGCCCTGTGGGTGATGGGGTGATGGGCCCTGCGTGGCTGCTGGGGAGGACACCGAGGCCGGGGGAGAGAAAGGGGGTCCCCCACTCACAGCCTCGTAGCACCAGTCCCGGAGGATGTCCAGCTCCCCACAAATCATGGCCTGCCGAGGGGAGGAGAAGGATTCAGGGCCGGAGCCGGGGGAGCCCCAGGAAGCTTCTGTGTGTGTGTGGGGGGGGGGCAAAGGGGGGCCAATTCCTGACCTGGGGAATAAGGCGGGGCGCGAGGGGAGGGGAGAGGGAGCAGGGCTCGGCTCCGGGCGCACAGGGAAGGCGGAGGGGTCGGCCTGCTGGTTGGGGAGGTAGAGGCCAGTGGCTGGGGGTGGGGTGGGGCTGGGGTGGGGGTGGGGAACGTGAGGAGCCCGCAGCCCCTGCACCTCCGGGCATCTCGGGCCCTGACCCTAAGGATGCCCTAGGAGTGAAGTCACCGAGGGCAGGATGGGACACTGCCCGGACGGGCCCGGCGTGGCCCAGCCGTGGGGTGGCAGGGGCAGTGTGTGTGTGTGTGGGGGGGTGCCCGGCCGGGGACGGGAGGGGCTGCGGGGCGCGGGCCACGCGCACCTCCAAGATATTGGGAATGATGTCACTCTCGCACTGGCGCAGGAAGCGGTCCTTGTCGAAGGCCGGGTCCACCCGCAGGATCTCCGTGAGCACCTCGGACATCTCCGTCTTGGAGAACAGGCCCCCTGGGGTGGGGGTGGTGGTGGTGGTGGTGGTGGTTGGGGCGGGGAGCGGAGAGGGAGAGCGGGGAGGCAGGGAGGGGGCGTCTGGTAAGTCCAGGTCCCCTGCAGGAGTGCGGGGAGGGGCGGCCGGCACTGAACCCCTCCCTCCCTCCCATTCCAGCACCCCCCACCCCCCCACTCACCCAGGAGGTCAGTGACCTTGTCTGTCAGGGCCCGGGATGCCCGGATGAGCGCGTTGTCGCTTTCGTCATATTTCATCTTCATCTCGAAGAACCCTGGGTGGCAGGCAGGAGAGGGTGGCGCTGCTGGGGGTGAGGGTGCTTCCGCACTGCCACCACCCACTGATGGCTGGCTGGCTGGCTGGCTGGCTGGCTGGCTGGCTGCCACCATGCGCCCAGCACCAGGGTTGGGGGACCTTGAGCGAGGCCCCCAGCTAGCTGGCCAGGCCGCGGATGCTCGGCGGGGCCCCTGGAGAGACACTGCATTGTCCCGAGCGGTGCCCGCCCGCCCCCCGACAGTACAGAGGCCTCCGGGACGGTGGGGGGGCGGGGGGCATACAGCACCGGGGACACTCGGGGTGCAGCCACGGCCTGGTACCTGCAGCATCAGCCCCCCGCCAGGGCGGCTGCGGGCAGGTGGTGGTAGCGGGGTCCCCCTCCTACGCCACGGACGGATGGACGGACTCACGATTGAACACCACGTTGTTGTCCTTGAAGTCCTTCCACTGCTGGTACCACTTGGAGTCTTTGTGTAGCACCACGCCCAGGGCCTCCCTGGGGGAGGACGGGGCTGTCACCACCCACCACCCACCCCCAGGACACCACGCACCTGCCGGGGCCACGCCCCACCCCGTACCCCACCCCCCTCTCCACCCAGGGCCAGCGCCGGCTGAGCCCAGGACCTACTCGTTGGCCTGGAATACTCTGCTCTCCTTGAGTTTCTCTCCCGCAAACTCGGTCCTCTTGCGGAGGCGTGAGGGCCTGCGGTAGGGCCCCGTCTGGCCCAGCACACTGTCATCAATTTCTTTCTTGACCGTCTCTACTCCCTGTGGGGGTGGTGGGACAGCAGGGGGTCTGGGTGCAGAGCCTGGCAGGCGTGGGGCTTGTGGTGTTCCCCCCCCCCCACTCACACACACGAGCCCCAGGCTCCCCACTCCCCAGCACTCGCCCCACTCACCCACCTGGGACAAGGCTCTGAAGGCGGCCGTCTGGCCCAGCTTCTCGCCGCCCTTGGACACGGACTCGGCTGACTGCTTGGCCGTCTTGGCCGCCTCCTCCACGCCTTCCTTGATCTTGCGGCCCAAGTCACTCTTACTGACTTCCTCGAGGCTCTACTGAGACACGGATGGGGGCAAGGAGGGAGGGAGGAGCGCTCGCCCTGCCACCCCACCGGGGACCCCCCCACCACCCCAGGACCGTCCTGGCCCAGCCATCCTCCATGCCCACCTCCGCTCCAGGAGGGTAGACCTTCATGACACCCCACGCACCCACCCTCCTCTGCGGGGACTGCCCTGCCGGGGGCGCTCACCTCCTTCATGGTGCCCGACAGCTCTCCCAGCTTCTTTCTGATGGCCTCGCTGGTACGCAGGGTTTCTGACTCAATGCTTTTCTAAGGCAAACGGGGGGGTGCTCAGTTGTGTCTTTGGGCTGCACCCGCACCCCCTCCCACGCAGGAAGCTGTCCTCTCCAAATCTCCAAGCCCCCCCGACCCAGCCCCTGCCCACCCCTGAGCTGCCTGCCACACCCCACCCCCCCCAAGACAACTTCATCCTTTGCGTGGAGATTCAGAAAGCAAAATGAAGCAAAATGAACTTTCCTCCACCTGCAGGTGCCGGGATCCCAAATTGTGCACTGGTTCTAATCCCGGCTGCTCCACTTCCCATCCAGCCCCCCTGCCTGTGGCCTGGGAAAGGAGGACGGCTCAAAGCCTTGGGACCCTGCACCCGCGTGGGAGACCCAGAAGCAGCTCTTGGCTCCTGGCATCAGATGGGTTCAGCTCCGGCTGTTGCAAACCAGACAATGAAAAATGTTTCTCTTTGCCTCTCCTTCTCTTTGTAATGCAGTCTGCCTTTCAAATAAAAATAAATGAGCTTTAAAAAAAAAAAAAAGCTGACTCACTGAACTGAAAGGGCAGAGTAAGAGAGAGATCTTCCACCTGCTGGTTTACTGCCCAAATGCAGACAACAGCCGGGTACTGGGCTGGGCTGCAGCCATAAGCCCGGGGCACTATCCAGGTCTCACCTACAAGCAGTGAGGACCCGAGCACATGGGGCCATGTGCTGCTTTCCCAGGCGCGTGAGCAAGGAGCTGGGGCAGAAGCGGAGCAGCCGGGACTCGAACCCCGGCCCTCGGATTGGGCATGCGGGTGTTCCCCAGAAGTAGCCTAAACAGCTGCCACCCGACCCTGACCCCCTTCACGCCATCGTTTCCTCCCACCTCGCCCCCTCCTGCCCCTCAATGCTTTCCCGCAGGGCCTTCCTCGGGGGGACGCACACAGCGAGGAGGGTGGGCCCAGCCCCGGTAGCAGCCACAGTGGCTTTGGTGATTGCGAACCACGCTGGCACTGTACCCTGGTTTCCGCCAGCACGACCAGCAGCTCTGAGAAGCAGAGTGGGGCAGGGCAAAGCCCGGGGTGCAGCAGGTCACCCAAGGGCCTGCCAGACAGCCACGCCGCTGCCTGGCCACATCGTACGTGTTCCCCGGAACCCGTTGCCTCCATCGCCTGTGGCGGTCGGGTCTGTGGGTCACCTGCTGGGCTGTAGTGTGACCGCTTAAACCCTGTCGCTCTTCCTCCTGGGCGTCGGGGACAAGCATCACAGCCCGCGACAGCTGGGAGGGACGAGGGCAGGACACTCACGTATTTCCTCCGGGCTTCCTGGAGCGCGTCGGACTCTTCCAGCCTCCTGGCCTCATCCCGGAATTTCTGGATGTTCTCTCTCATCTCTTTGTTCTTGGCCAGCTCCTGTTTGATGTTTTCCAGCAAGCCCGACAGGAATCCTTTTCTGTTTCCAGTAGAGTATGCTCTGGGCTGGGAAGAATGAGATCGGGGTGGAGGTGGGGTTAAAAAAAAAAAAAAAAAATCTCTACATCTTGGGTGACCCAGATGGCGAGAGCTTCGGGAAGAAGTGCCAACAGAGTTTAAGTACCACGCCAGGGCCTGCCAGGGGCCTGGGGGGGAGGGAGTACAGAAACTAGCAGGGCTGTGAGGCGGCTGGTGGCGGCCACGTGTCATCACAGGTGTGTCCGACACAGCTGAGGATGCCCCCCCATTAATGGTAACACGCAAAAAAAAAAAAAAAAAATCACATAGCAACAGCAGCGGCTGTAACAAGGTGGCTCTCCGTAGCCAGCCCAGAAACTGTGTCGCCGGTCAGGAACGCTGTGTACTCAGACTGCTGGGAAAGGTCCAGTCTCTCTCTCTCTCTCCTTGATTTTGAGGTGCCTTTGCAGTGGGAGCCACAACAGCTTGCCTTTCCTCTCCCCTCCAAGGACAGGGCGCAGGCCAGACCAGGCAGCCTCCGTCCCGGGGACTCCAAGCAACACACAGGCGGCCTGGAGGGCTCCGGCTCCTGCTGTCCAAGGGGCAGGTGTAGGCTGCTACTCCCTGGGCACGCGGTGAGCTGTCACTCCCCTGGGGCCACTTGCAGGTGTCCAGATGGCACCTGTCTCACTCAAAGGCCTATGGCCAACGGGTGGATTTGCCCATCTCAGCCGCAGGATGGCAGTCAGTGAAACACCCCAGCCCCCCACCCCCCCGCCACACACGGGGGGGGACACGCCATGGACCAGAACCCAAGACTCAACTGCAAACTCAAACTCAGGCTACCCGGGGGCACTCTGCCAGCTCTGGGGGGGGGGTGGGCACTGGCCACCCTGGGGCCTTGGAAAGAAGCCCTCACAGGGCCTCGAACCCCCCAGGGCTAACAGATCCCCCTGCCAGCAGGCCTGTCACACCCTCTGCTGCCGTGGCCAAAGGCTGGGCACAGGGGGCGGGACCCGGCCTGCCATCTGCCATCCTCTTCCTGCCCAGCTCGGAGAGGGGTCAGATGCCACCAAAGGGGACATAGTACTGTACCCAACAGCATTAAAAGCAAGAAGCTGGCCTCCACTGGGGACCCCTGGCCGTGGCCCCTCTGCTCCTCCCCCACCAACAAGGTCACTGACACACCAACACACAGACAGGGGTCCTGTCTGCTTGGGACCCGCTGGTTACTTACCAGGGTCGGTGCTCCACCTGGCTGGCCAATCTGATAGGCTGGGCCATGGGGGAGGCTGTGGCCGGAAAGAAACTGGCTCCCACTGCGAAGGCACCTCTAATCAAGGAGGAAGGGAGGGAGGGAGAGAGAGAGAGCCATTTAAACACTGCCTGCCCAGGAAGTGCCCAGGGGTCCCCGTGGGCCAGGATCTCTACAAACAACCCGGAAGTCCCAGAAGCCAGCGGACAGGGGTAGACTTGCGACGGGTCACTTTGCCTCTGGAATGAATCTGCTATGTCAGGGTCAGGGTGAAGGCATGCTAGCCAGGCCACCTTGGGGTGGGGGTGGGTAGGAGGGTCTCTTTGGCAAGGGACTCACTTCACCATAGGGGGAAAAAGCACTGATGGCCTCTTGGAAGTTTCCTGCAAGTCTGTACCCCAGCACCGAGCCTGGCCACCCGACAGCCCAGGACCCAGGAGGACCCCAAGGGCATCTGGTCCTCTCTGCTCCCTGCCTCCTGGTCACTGTGGCGGCCCTGAGCGGCATCCCCCCCAGCACCTCCTTAGCCGCTCTGCAGGGTCCCTCTGTATGTCACCTGTCCATTGGCCTACGTCCTCTGATTCTCTGAGAGGAGAACGCAGGGACCCCCCCTTCTACAACCGCCAAGCGGGAATGGGCAAGTTGTGGTGGGGTTGGCCTGGCGGCTTCACTTCCCAGCCAGTCTCCCAGGTTCAAGTACTTGGGGGGGGAGGAGGTGTCCTTGCCACCTGCCACGTGGGAGACCCAGAAGGAGCTCTCGGCTCCTGGTTTGCAACCAGCAGGTGGTATACAGGTCCTTGCACGGTGAAAAGGAACACATTTGAAAGGCAGCGAATCCATCCCTGAGTTTCAGATGGGGTCGGCCACCTGTGGGTACGGGAGGCGGGGGTGGGGGGGGGACAGGCCATGCAGGACGGTCCGTCCTCGCAGGACGGGCTGTGACTGTCACGGGTGTGCGTGGGTCTTCCTCCGCCTCGTGCTCCCCGGAGGGCCTGTGGGGGGCTCACGCGGCGGCCAGCGTCTCCTCAGACCCCGCACATGGCCGACCCCTGCCCGCTGCGCTCGGTCCCCGCCCTCGCGCCCGGGCTACGTGCTCCCGGCCACGGCCACGGCCACGCCTGAGCCCCGAGTGCAAAGCCCAGGGAAGCGGCCCGCGGAGGCCTGGAGGAGTCCCTGCGAGCCGACACCCTCCCCGACCGGCCTCGCGGATCGGCTCACCCGCGGACAGCGGCACCAGCCACTCCGCAGCGCCGCCGCCGCCATGTCGGAGGATCCCGTGTGACCTTCTGGCGTCGCGGCCTGATGGCGTCACTCGCCGCTCCTGCCTGGGAAAAAAAAGTCTACCTGGGAGGTGTGGCTTCGGGGCAGGGCGAGGCCTGTGATTGGGCAGGACGAACCAGAGTGACGGACGCTCCTAATAGGGGGCGGGACATTTCTAAAGGCCTTACTTCTGAAAGGGTTGAGTTCTGCAAAGGCGGGGCCTTTGATTGGACACACCCCAGGAGGAGGGCGGGCCCTGCTGGGACGCTCAGGCCTGTGATTGGCGGAAGTCTGCCGAGGGGGCAGAGCCAGGGAGAAGCTGCAGGATCCTGCAGGAGCGTCCGGCGGGCGGGCCAGCCCCGGCGTGCTCGGCTCTGCCCCTGCCCGGCCGTGAGGGACACCCCTGCTGGGTGGACACACCAGCCCTGCCCGGCCGTGAGGGACACCCCTGCTGGGTGGACACACCAGCCCTGCCCCTCCCTGACCGTGATGGACACCTCTGCTGGGTGGACACACCAGCCCTGCCCGGCCGTGATGGACACCCCTGCTGGGTGGACATACCAGCCCTGCCCTCCCCGGCCGTGAGGGACACCCCTGCTGGGTGGACACACCAGCCCTGCCCTCCCCGGCCGTGAGGGACACCCCTGCTGGGTGGACACACCAGCCCTGCCCGGCCGTGATGGACACCCCTGCTGGGTGGACACACCAGCCCTGCCCCTCCCTGACCGTGATGGACACCCCTGCTGGCTCCGGGCCGCTGTCCACCCTCCTGGGGCTTCTGCACAGAGGAGCCTGGAGCGGGCGGGGGCCAGGGTCGGTCCAGTGTGGGGTTCACTGGCATTCCCTGGAGCATCGGGCCCAGTGGGGTTTCGCTGGCATTCCCAGGGGCGTCAATGCCCAGCGAGGGTTCACTGGGATTCCCAGGGGCATCAATGCCCAGCGGGGGTTCGCTGGCATTCCCAGGGGCATCAAGGCCCAGCAGGGGTTCGCTGGCATTCCCTGGGGCATCAAGGCCGAGTGGGGGTTCACTGGCATTCCCAGGGGCATCAATGCCCAGGAGGCAGCAGCTGATGGCCCCCTGCCGCCACCCAGGCTGGACAGCAGGCTGGAGAGCTTCCTGGCTCTTGCTGCTGACCAGCCCAAGTCCTGGCTGTTAAGGGCATTTGGGGGCGTGAACCAACATATGGGCGCTTTCTTTTTGCTTCTCAATTGGGCGAATGAATGGTGGGATGGAAGCTGAGGTTTTTTTCCCCCCACACACACAAGTGTGTGGAGTTAGCTTTGTGCTGATTCCCGAGAGCCAACTGGTCAACTGCCAAACATTGGAAGCCAGTTATCAGAACACGGCCAACACTTAGCAACTAATTGTTTAAATGTAATAGACTCAACGTGCATCACTTTCTAATTATCTGACACTATGTAACGATCATCTGTGCCCTTAAGGTCAACTTTAAAGTCTTCTTATGTGGAAGACACAATAAAAACGGATGGACAGATCTTCTACTTGCTGGTTCACTCCCCAAATGCAATGCCAGCCAGGCTGCGACCAGGTTACAGCCAGGAGCCGGGGGGCTCCACCAGGTCTTCTCAGGTGGGGCAGGGACCCCGAGCTCTTCAGCTGTCACCCCTTGCCTTCCAGGATGTGCACCAGCAGGGAGCTGGGACTTGAACCTGGATATTCTGGTGTGGGCCACGGGCATCGTGGGATGCCCCTGACTGCTGTGCTGCCCCGGGCACTGTGGGATGCCCCCGGCTGCTGTGCTGCGCCTGGCCCCAACGCTGCCCAGTAGGGCGCTTGCCCTGTAGGTCTCTGGCAGTCTCCCATCTAGGAAAGTCCCTCACAGTTTTTCCCCACGACCTTGACGGTCTATTAAAAAAAAAAAGTCAGCTGCCTGAGCTTCCTGGTTACAACTGCTGAGGACACACACCATACAAATAGTCGCCCCAGGATCTCGGCCACCCTTACCAGCCTCAGACACACATCCACACCACAGTCCCAGGATCGTCCCAGGGCCTAAGACACACACACACACACACACACACACACACGCCACGGTCCCAGGGTCCTCCCAGCACACCTGTGTCCCAGGCAGAGAGGAGGTGGCCTTACACACGCGGGCTGCCAGATTCCTGTTCCACTCGGTTGCCTGGCCTGGGCCTCCACACTCCAGCAACCTCAGGCTCGCCGTTCCTTGCTCCCTGTGGGTTTTGGCTGCCATCTCCTTCCCCCCCCCTCCCCCCGCCTGGCTGCCTCCTCCATCTCTTCTACTTCTTGCTGGAATGGTGATAGCAACTGGCCCAGGTTGCTAGGCCGCAGGCGGCTGCGTCTTCACTTGGCCGCAATCTGATAGCCTATCTTCAAAGGGGGGTGGGTTGAGTCCCCGCGTGCTGGGTTCGATTCCCCGCTGTGGCTCCAGATTCTGCCTTCCTGGTTTCACGAAGACCCCGGGGGAGGCAGCACCTAATGACTCAAACACATGGGTCCCTGCCACCCAGGTGGGAGACCCGGATGCTGCTCCTGGCTTCAGCTTGGATGAACCCTGGCCGCTGCTTGGTATTTGAGGAGTGAACCAGGGGGTGGAAGCTCGACTCTCAAAGTAATAATGAGACACTAAGTGGATGAAGCTCTCGCCTTTTTGGTACCACCAACAAAGTCATTGGGGACCAAACTCCTGAGCTGTGGGGGACAGGCGGAAACCATCACACACCAGCTTTGTCAAATTAGCGCTGAGTTTCTGTTGGTACACCCTGGCCTTGGCCGAGGCTGCCCACCTTCCCCCTGGCAGCCCAGACTTGCCCTGCGAGGTCCTGGCAGCCTCCTTAGCGGCTCCAAACTCTGCCATCTCGCAGTGCGCCCCTCTTGCCCTTTCACACTGTCAGGGCCCACTGATTGGGGTTGGGGAGGAGGTGGTGCAGGAGTACCCAGTTTCTGGTGACTCACAAGGGACCCCACTGACCAGGAAGCAAAGGACTCTGTGAGTGCCATGCTATCCCCAATCCCCGAACTTGGACAGCCAGCTCCCGGGGCCTGCACCCTTTGTCTGTCCGTTCAAGAGGTTCTGCAAGCTGGACCCATCTCTCGGGACCCTCCATCTGGAGACGTCTGTTGGAACAGGGAGAGCCTGGTCTACCTGGAGGGGTGATGCCTAGCTTTCGGGCACGTGACCCGTGGGCACCTTAGCCCCTTCCTTTCCTTGTGGCCCACACTGGCAGCACCCCTGACTTCCCGTCATTTCGGAACCCTGAAAATGAAAGAATTCAGAGGTGTGAATGGAAAAGGCACCGCGAGCCTTGGGATGGACACTGTCCTTGATTGGCCTGGAACGTCTGGAGGATGGGTGCGTGAATCAGGGTACTTGATTGTACCCAGTGCCCACCAGCCCGACAACCCCACCTCCGCTGTCTTGAGGGTGGGACCACTGGGTGGGCTCAAAGAGGGCCTTGTCCCACTAGCCTTTAATTCAACAGGGTTCCTGGAAGCCTCTCAAAGGGGTCACCCACCCACCCACCCTGTCCACCGGGGGCAGAACAAAGGGCAGTTGCTTCTCCCTGTCCCGGTCTGGTCCCGTGTCTGTCACACACACTGGTGGCACTTCTCCCGGACAACGCACTACCCGTGTTCTAGAACCCCCTTTCAATACTGCTGAGAAATCAAGGCTTGAAGGGAACCAGGAGGTGGGATGAGCCTGGCTGGATTCTGGGCTAAGGGAGGGTGTCCCTGGGAGACCACCAGGGTGGGTCAGGAGATCCACTGGTTCTAGTAGCATCCTTGGAGAGGCCGGCCTCTCTCCTCTCAGTGAGGCTTGATGGGGCTGCGTCACCCCGACTGAGGATTGACCCCCCCCCTCTTGTTTTTGCGTGCATGGGGGCACCCTGGCCCCACTGCAGAGAGGGTACAGGACGCTCACCCCGTGCCTGGCAGGCACAGACCCCTGCAGGAGTCAACCCAGGTCCCTCCTGCTGCTTCTCACCCTGCTCAGGCTGGACAGGCGCTGGGCCTGTGGGCCTGGAGAGGGGCGCCCAGGATAAGGCTGCTGGCAGAACAGACCTGGCAGCCCTGCCAGGCCCTCCTGGCAGGGGGTCAAGGCCAAGGCCTGGCACAGGCTTCCCTGGGGGGGGTGGGGGGGGTGGGGTGAGGAGGGGCGGGCAGAGGTGATCCTCCCTCCCCGCCCCCACGCCTTCCCTTCCTGGGCCGTGGGCTGCTGTGAGTCACACACCATCACCCCTACGCCATTCACGTCTCAGTTATCCCACTTCATTTATTACCAAAATATCACAGAATTCCAGTCATTGGTTAACATACAGCACGGAACACAAACCTGGAAACCTGTGGGAAGAACCAAGGACTTGGACAGTTGAGTCGTTTGGAATCAGTCGTTAACACCCCAAACCGTATCGCTCCGAGCTTCAAAAATAGGCTTTTTGTTTTTATGTGTTTTTTTTTTTTGTTGTTGTTGTTGTTTTGTTTGTTTTTGAGAGCTTTGGAAACTGAATTAAAATGTCTACACAGCTATGAACAATTGTTTAATAAAACTTTTTTTTTTTCACGTTTCCATTACATGTAAATATATCAATTTGGCATCTCTATAAAAACTCTGAAAATGGTGCAAAAAAGTTTCATTCTCTTTGAGAAAGCCATTGACAAAAAATATTCACACTTCACTAAAATTTCGAAAAATGGTCTTCTTTCAAAGCTTCGTTATTAATCTGAAATCTTCGCATTTATCAAAATCTACGTTTGCTTCTTCCTCCTAAAACACTAAAGAACATTTATTCACACGGATTAAAAAAAAAAAAAAAAGAGGCGGGGGGGGGAGGAGAGATGGAAAACCGATAACCATTTTTTTTTTCCCTTTCTGAAAATAATTGTTTTAAAAAAAAAAAAAAGGCAAGTCACATGGAAGCATCCTTCAGAGAACACAGCGGGACTCATTTATTGCCGACTTTTGGACAGCAGTCGTCAGATTTTATTGGAGACGAACTCGGGGAGGAAAACAAAGTTAAAATGAAAAAAAAAAAAAAAAAGGCACCTCAAGGAAAAAATAAATAAATAAATAAATAAATAAAATCAAGTATTTCATAGAAAATAAAAACCGGAACTTGACACACGCCAGGGTACAAAGCGGCTAGCCATCTACCGTGCAAGGGGGGGGGGGGAGCAGGTGGTCCCCAGGGTCACCGGGCAGCCCCCTCAGGCCTGATGCTTAACACAGCTTCACACAGCTACCTGTAACAACTTCCGTGGGGGGGAAAAAAACCAAAAAGTTTCATTTTTCTCCCTTGAAATGATCAAGAAAAAAAAAAAAACAAAACGCAATGAGCTGACAGCGATTTGCAGAAGCTAAGAGCCCGGAGCGGGGGTTCCCGCTTGCGCCCTGCACCCTGACCCCACTGGGGGGGCTGCATGCCCTCCTAAGGAGCTGCCCCAGGGACTGGGAGGGGAGTGCTAAGTAACAGCAGCCTGATTCTCCCAAGGCCAAGGTGGACGGCTCTGGCTCTGTCTCTCTCACACCTTTTAGGTCAACCGCCCTCGCTGGCTGCCCTGGCCCAGCAGGGACGCTCCCGGAGTGGCCCATTCAGGCCTGGGTGAAGGGTCTTTCCATGCCAGCACCAAGGGCCCACTCTGACATGTTAAGGCCACTGCCCTTGGTGAGGGAGGACCACCCCAACTCCCACTTCCAAGAGGAGACAGAGGGGACCTGGCACCACAGCCTGCTCCCAGGCCCCGGGGTGCCCTTGTCAAGAGTCCACACGAGCTGCAGGTGTGGAAGGGACTGAGCGTTCCAGAGGGGCCCAGTGGCTGGCTACAGGCAAAGGCTGGGCAAGCTACAGGGAGAAGTTCAGTTCGGGCAGATGGGCCCCTCAGGGTGGGGTGGTGGGTTCAACCAGTCAGCCTTGCAAATCCACAGCCACTGGGGGTCTCCTGGGGGGCCTGCGGTGGCAGGGTGGTGGTAATCACACATGGCCACAAGATCTCCAATTCAACCTCAGCCGCTGGGGCTCAGCTAAATGCAAATGTCAGGAATCCACTCTTGGGTCCCTGAGCTGCTGTGACAGCGGAATTCTGACCCCCCCCCCCCCCAGCCCCGGCAGAGAACCACACACCCTGCCGTGGGCCACTAGCCCTTCTCAGAGCCCAGGGAAGGGAGGGCTCACCTTCACTATAGAGGATGGGGCTACGGGAATGCGGCGAGAACCCTGGAGCTCCTGCCAGCGGGAAGGGGTGGGGGGAAGCCCTGGGTGGACAGGTGGGTAGGGGGCAGGGAGGAGACGGCGGCTAAGCCTCTGGACCAACCTCCCACTTTAAATACACAGATAAATAAAGGAAGAAATCATAGCTAGCTCCGCAAACCCAACAGCTCAGTCAGGCCATCATTCCATCATACCCAGAGTAAAGGGGATGTCGGCACGTGGCCCTGGCAGTTAGGATGCCGTGTCCCCGTCACGGGAGACGTGGGCCCAGCTCCCTGCTAATGCGAACCCAGCAGCAAGGGCTCCAGTGGCTGGGCTCTCCTGCCACCCACCCACCCACCCACTCATGTGGGTGACGTGCCTGTGTCCCGGCCTCTACCCTCTGGCCCCCCAAACAGAGCACCTGGGCAACGGGGTTGGTGGGGGGAACTCTGCACACCTCTTTTGCTCAGCTCTCCACACGATCGTGACCAGCTTCGGTCTCGGGCCAAAAGTTCATAAATACATAAATATATAAATAAATAAATACAGACACACGTACATACATACAACCTGCCGGTACTACAACGTCTGGTTTTGATCCTGTCCGCCCAGCGGCAGCGACGGAATCAAATGGCGACGACCACCAGTCTGGAAGAGCTGGGGAGGGGAGACCTGGCCCTGCCTAGCTGGTGGGGGGGGGGGCTTCCCTTCCGCCTCCCCCCACTAGCTCTGGGGTTCCAGGCACCCCACCCTTGCCCCGTGACAGCACACGGCTAGGCCACAGGTTCAGTCCATGGGGGGAAGGGAGGGTTGGTGGTGGTGGTGGTGGTCTTACGAGTCCTCTCCCTCAAGGCTGGGACCCCCCCCCCCCCCGCGTACCTTCCCTAGCCAAAAAGAAAGAAAAGGCAAAACAAACAACAAAACAAAAAACAAAACAAAATTCGAGCAAAACAAAATCAAATTTAATGGTCTTGAATGCAAAAGTAAAAACAAAGAAAAAACACAAAAAAGCAAAAGAAAATGAACAGAACAGAACAACCCCAAAATGTCAAGGTGGTTATCAAGAGAACTCGGAAGAGTTAATCTTTTTTCTTTTCTTTTTTTTTTTTAAATCTACAAATCAAAGGTCGTCTTCTTCTTTTGTTGTTGTTAATAAGACAGCTGGCAAGAACTAAGTACTTCTCTGTTTTAAGTGTTCGTTCGTACGAAAAGCAAAATTCCAAAACGAAACCCGACTAGAATCGCAGAGAGAGAACAAATCTAGCGCTCGCAAGGAGGGGATGCGCAGGACGCGATGCTCAAATGTTTCCTCGTGGTATTCAAAAATAGAGTTATCTTACACCGTCAAGCTCCGGCCAATGCTCTTGGAGACCCGAGGCATCGCCGTCGACAAGTCTCAAGTGAGGGGGTGCCATGCATGCGAGGTGGGGCGCAGGAGGAGGAGGAGGAGGAGGAGGAGGAGGGGGGGGTCACATCGCATTGGGGTTGGCCGCCCACGCCCCGGCGGGCCCACTCAGCAATACACGGGAGTTTCTGGAAAACTCTTTGGTCCGTTCCCCCGGGGTGCCCGGGGCTCAGAACTCACTTATAACATCTTTTCTCTGGAGGAGGAGGAGGAAAAGGGGCCCCGGCCCGGCGTGCGGTGCCCCCCTACCTCTTCCCAGGCAGGTAGCCCACCTCGGATGGGGGGACCCCCCTGCGGCCACTTCCCCCCCGGTGGGGGGGGGCCCGCTCAGCATAGGCCAGGACTGGAGGGGGGCTGGGATGTGGCCCCCGGGAGGGGTTGGGGGGACCCGCGGGTTGAAGGAACACCCCCCCCCCCTCCGTGCCTGTCTAACCGGTCAAGACTAAAGGCGACAACTCCAAGATGCGGTTTGCGAGGACAGCGAGGGGGGACCGCGTGTCAGACAGTCCGAGAGACTCGGGTTAGAGCATGCTTCGGCTTCTCCACCGTCCAGAGGGACTGGTTAGTCAACGAGGTCAACTTAGGTTTCCGTTTTAATATATATATATATATATTTTTTTTTTAAAAGGAAATAACTTAAGAAAACGTAAAATTGGTCTGACATGGGTGGGATTTGCAAACATTTGAACATGTCGGTGGCATCCCAGAGTATAAAAACCTTTCCACTTCTCGTTTAGACTAAGACAAACACTTGTGAAAATTGGCGCAAAATGAGTTGTACACTAACCAAAAAAAAAAAAAAAAAAAAGTTTCAACTTCTTCACTCTTAATTATCTATTCCGTACAAAAAAAAAAAAAAAAAAGAAAAGAAAGAAAGAAAGAAAAAAAAAAAAAAAAGCACGAGCGAGTTATTTGTGGGACTTGTTGGTTTTGAAGGAAACCTGTAAGATTTTGTCCCCCAGGCGGTAGCCGTTGAGGCTGGCTATGGCCATTGCGGCCTCTTCATAGTTTGTCATGGTCACAAAGCCAAACCCTTTGCACTTGTTGGTGTTGAAATCGCGGATCACTTTGACATTGGTGACGGCGCCAAAGGGGCCGAACATCTGCCAGAGGATGCCCTCGTCGGCGTCCTGGCCGAGGTTGTAGACGAAGATGCACCAGCCCGAGGACGCGTTGCCTGGCGCATTGACGCCAGAGAGCCCACTCATGTGGTCTACACCCATGGGGGAGAACCTGGCGGGCGAGAGCAAGCACAGGGTCAAGGTCAGGCGGGCCCGGCACCCCCACGCGGCGGCACCTGGGGTGCAGCGCCCACCGGACCAGGGGCAGACCGTGGGAGCTGCCTAACTTGTACATGGCGACCCACAGAGCCAGTCTTCCTCGTGCCCCGCGATTCGACCCACAGAAGGGTGGCAGTGCCCGGGGGAGGGGGGCGGGGACAGCCTGTGTCTGCACTGACCAGCAGCTTTCTCTTGCCATGATACCCCAGGGGGCACCCCTTAGCTCACTGCTGCATCTCCCTCACCTTCCTGCTCTGCCAGCAACCCTGGCTACAACTCCAGGTCAGAGTCCACAGCTCCTCCTGCTTCCCTGGTTACTAAGTAACGGGGCCGCCCGCTGCCAGCTGCGCCCGGCCCCATCAGGGGCAGCTCTGCTCCCGTTCCTGCACCCCAGAGCTGGAGTGTAAGCTTTGGTTGGAAGCAGCTGTGCCAGCCGTTGCCAGCCCTCGGGGCACACCCCTCCTTACTGCCTGCCACTGAGACGGCAAGCCTGCATATGCCACAGGAAAACCCCGCTCTCTGAGAAGAGCCCTCACGCCCATTTCCTGAGGCACTGCCAAGGCCAAGGCCAAGGCCAAGGCCAGCCATGAGGCCCCCGCCCAGCCTTCCCTGCTTGTGGCAGGCAGCCCCCTCGGCCACGCGGGGCCGTCCGTTACAGAGTAGGGGAAGGCGCTGTGGTCCGGGGGCAGGCAGGGCTGTGAAAGGCTCAACGCCCGATGTGGCTGAGGTACTGCGTGGGCACGGACACTCGGCCTGAGCCCCCCCCACCCCGCGGCCACGGATGGGCTCAGTGGCTGGGCCAAGGCGGGGAGCCCCAGGTGGCCAGGCCCCAAGCACTGCAGGCCTCCTGCACGGGAACCGAGGAGGGTCTGATCCACAGCTCCAGCATGGCAAGCGGAGAGCCAGGCAGCAGCCTCGCCTGGCGTGGCACACCTGGCTCCACTCCCGTGTGACCCATCCAACACCCCCTACACACACACACACACACACACACACACACACACACACACACACACACACAAGTCGGTGGGAAGCAGGGCTGTGTTTAAAACAGAGGTGTGGCGACACCCCGGGCACTGTCTGCTTGCAGGGGGGTGGTTCTGCACCCACACTGGACACGAGAGCTGCCAGACGGACGGCACGGCCGCTGCTACACGCACAGCTCTGCCTCGCACGGTGGCGGGGGAAATCTTTCCAAAGGGACCTGTGTACCTGCCGACTCTGGCAGCCGCTGCCAGGCCTGGAACTGAGCCCTGGTGTGGGCGGGGGGTGGCGTGCCCAACGGCAACGGGTTGACGGGACGGGCCTGGCAGCACCCCCAGCCTTCTCCAGGTTGCGTGGCCGCCAGCAGGCCTCCCGGGGACCCACCTGAATCTCTGTGCCTGATGGTGTACAGGGCCTCCGAACCTTCTGGCAGGCGAGTGGTACAACTGTGAGAGGAGCGCCACGTTTTTGTTCTGGTTGGGGTTGGCTGCGAACTTCACTGTGATGGGCTCAGAGGAACCTGGGGGTTTATGACCATTGAAACTGGTAATTGCCTCTTCTGCTTCGGACCGTTTGTCAAACCGGATAAACGCAACCCCTCTGGACAAACCTTTTTAACAAACCAACAAAAACGGAGTTAGGGGGGAAGCAGGCAAGGAGTTTCAAATCAACTGAAAAGCAAAAGACAAAGTCAGTCTACTGTGGTCCTCCCTGGCTAAAACGGAAACGAAACCAGATTCATTCGTCCCAAGTTGCAGGCCCTGTCTCGAGGCAGAGCAGCGACTTCAGTCCCCACGGTGAGAGCCATGTTGGCGGCAGACACCCCAAAGGGCCCCCCTGAGCCTCCTGACGCGCTGCAGCATTAAGATGGGCCACAGGCGTGGGCATCGTTTGCTCAGCAGGTGCCCAGAGAGGGTGTGCACGACCGGAACCACCACCCTCTCCTTGCTCTACGCTGCTGCTCAGTCCTCACTTTGCAGTCCTGGGACGGCCTCTGGGTTCCCAGTTCCCCTCCAAGGAGGCCCCGCTGTGGCCCGTGTCCTGCAACCTTGGCCAAGCCAGTGGGATTACTGCATGGAACCCCACCCCCTTACTGAAGAGAACAGCCGGGACCCACAGCCCGAGTGGCAGAGGCTGAGCAAACCTGGGAAGGGGTGGGGGATGACGCGACCTGCCCTTTAGCCCCCTGCCCTGCCCTGTCCGCCCCCAACCCTGCAGGTCTGGGAGGCAAAAAGCAGCAAGGCCTCACCGTTCAGCTCAAGGAATGGGGTGAGGAGAATCTGAGGGGATGCTAAGCAGGGTCAAAGGGAAGGCCAGCGTGTCGGGGAGAGGATGGCTGAGGGTCAAGGCTGGGCTGGCTGAGCAGTCATGAGATCTTCCTTAAGAACTCAAAGGCCCCAGGGGTCTCCAACCCCAGGCAAGGTGGGGCTTGTCACTAGGCCAAGGTCTTTTAGCATGCAGTAAATGAGAGACCCAAGCAGGACAACTTGGGCCTTGGTGACCCTCTGGGCGAGCGTTCAAGCTGTCCCCAAGTCCACGTCCCAGCCCCAGAAGGTTCTGCCTCCTGTGCCTGTGGTACCGTGGTCCCTCTGGCCTCAGCCAGATTCTCTTCGGAACCATGACCACCCATCTGGGTCACTTGCACCCCGGACCCAGCACAGTGGCCTCCAGGTTGCCCTCGCGTGGGGTTCACAACTGTTCAATCACCCACTTGGAGTTCAAGTGGGTGGAACCCACTATGAGGAACCCATGAGGTTATTAGACCTGGCAAGATGCGCCGGTGCCCAGGGCATCCAGGGCCTGACCTGCTCCAGCCGGGCAGGAGTACCAGCTCAGAGAGCTAGAGGAAAACCAGCCCCAGGCAGGCACCACGAGACACGGGCACGGCGGGTAGCTGTGTGCCTCAGAGAGTGGCCAGGGTCCCCAGCAAAGCCAGGTGGTGGGGGCTCTGCCTTAACAGCTCGGGCTCCTTGGGGGCTGTGGGGCACCGGGAACAGGGCAAGGGAGCTAAAACACTGACAGTGGGACTGTGGCGGGGGCCCCGGGCTCACCGATCAGTTAGCTGCCTTCTCAGCCAGCATGTGGGTAAGAAAGAGGTGCTTTGCAGTAGACCTGGGGATCACACCAAGTTAACGGCCATCGCCCAACTCTACTTGTGGAAGGGACCCCAGGTCTGTGCCGGCCCACAGGCTCCCCCAGCGCCCCAGGCCGGAGTCTCCAGCTCGGCAGAGCCTGATGCTGGCCGCTTCCCGCCTCAGCCCCAATCCAGCAGCACTGTACCCTGACCCCCGGGAGGATGCGAGTAGCTGAGGGAGCCACAAGACGCATGGCCGTGGAGGACCAAGGTGAACACCTGGCACACCTCCAGCCCAGCAGCCACAGGGCCTGAGCTCCTTGTGGCCAGCTAGCCTGCCAAGGGGGTGTGCAGGGAGAGCGCATGCGTCGGATGGAGATGAACCCTGTCTGCTGGGGCAGCACAGTTCCCATTCCTGCTGAGGCACCCTGAGTTCCGGGCCAGGTGGGTGCACAGCAGGGCTTGCTGGGGGGCACATCTGCAAAGGCCCCTCGGCTCCTCTTGCCCAAAGCTGTGCACCCACTTCGATGCTTCAGAGGGGCCAGCCAAGTGGCCAGGCCTTCCAGAGAGCCGTCGGGGCCTCTGCCTGGGGGGCCCCGGAGCACCGCAGACCGAGGACAGGCTCCTGAGGGAGGGACAGCGCTACCTGTGACACCGCATGGTGACGGCAACATGGGGACTTGAAGGACTGACAGCTGCTGCCACCGTTAACACCCTGCTCACAGGCAAGGCCAGGGCCCCGGGACGCCGGAGGGAAGGCACTGCCAGCACCGAACGTCCTGAGCCTCATGCAGCCAAAGCCACTGTCCTCTCATGCTGAGGGCGGCGCGGGACACTGCAGTGCCGAGGGCGGCGTGTCGGCCTCTGGCCGTACCTGTGGTCTGGTCCACGAGGACCCGGGAATTGATGATACGGCCAAAGCGAGAGAACATGTCCTCCACGTCCTTCTGGGTCATGGTCCGCGGGAGCCCGCTGATGTACAGGTTGGCATCTTTGATGACCTCAGAGCTGGGGCGCGCGTAAGACACCTTCAAGACAAAAGCGCTGGCTAGGATTAGGGCGGGCCTGGGAGCAAGGCATTGAGGAGGGTGCAAAGCCAGCGCCGTGGCACCGCCAGGCCACACCAGCACTTGTGTCAGGTCACCCTGTGGCACCTCCTCCTGTGGCCTTCGCATCTGAGCGAGGAGGACGTTCCTCCGAGCAGAGACGGAGGGTCTGCAGCGCTGGGATCCGAGCCCCAACTCTCCCACCCCCCTGCCTCGGCATTACGCCCTCCTGGGAAACGCTGGCACGTGAGCCACTGCTGGGGACTCGAACGGGGGCACCCGAACCAGGAGCCTGAAGGTGGCCTGTGCGAAGCCTGCAGTGTGGAGCATGCCACGAGGTGCAGAGGGGCCCACCGGCCACCTGGCTGGCAGCAAAGGCCTATGCCGAAGGCAGTAAGGTCCCGAGGCTGAAGCCAGGAAGGGCTCAATGCTCCCAGGGGTGAGGGCTAACTGCGTGCAGCCCCCAGACACCAATGCAACCATCAACAGCAATGGCAGCCAGGAGGACCCAAGGGGAGGAGAGGAAGCCGAGTGCTCTGGGAGGACGGGGACCTGCACCTGCCGGACAGAAAGAACCCTCTCTCGCCCACAGAAACGGGCGATCCGTGACTGCACTAAGGTGCCGTCGGGTGTCTCGGGGTGGGAGTCTAGCTCTGCGCCCCACCCTGCTCCCACTCCCACGCGTGCTGCTCTGCGAGGGGGCCAGGTACCATCCTTGCCCGGGAGGCAGCTGGCAGGTAGTGCCATCAGAGATGGAGATTCCAACCAAGAGCATGACAGCTGAGCAGGGCCGGGCCTCACCGAGGGGGCACCGAGGATGTGGCAGGGAGGCTACAGGGCACCTTGCCATCAGCCCGTGGGTCAGGAGCCCTGGGGACACTTGGTCACTCCAGGATTCGGGTCAGGGCTGGTACATACCCAGAGCACTGGCTCCACAGAAAAGGGGACCCCTAACTTTGTAGCCAGATGGTCACAGGTGCAGGGAGCCCTGACTGGGGACTACCCCCCTGGACTGGTGGCAGCCACACCAGCTCTGGGTGTGTGATGTCAGAACGGAACTACAGGACAGCAGCAGCTGCGGGGCACGTCTGGGGACCGCACAGACAGACAGACAGGCTGTGCTGATGCCTACTGTGCCCTGCGGATGAGTCACCCTTCACCTGGGACCTGGGGCCTCAAGGCAGAGGGAGTAGGACCCGTGACCGGGGCATCGCGTGCCCAGGCGCAGGCTGCTTTGGCAGAACTAGGGCAGCCGGGGAAGCGCTGTGAGCTGGATTCCACTGGCTGAAGGGAGGGCGGACTTTCACGCACATGGTGAGGGTGGCACGACTGGGCAGCCTGCGGGTACAGGCTCTGGCCTCAGCAAGGGCTGTTGCAAAACTTCCGGCATCACCAGTCACAGGAAGGCTCAAGAGTACACAGAGCCAGCTGTGTGTCCGGGCTTGGGAGCAGCAGGGCACTTCCTGGGCGGGCCTGGCACAGGGAGCCAAAGGCCCCGGGGTGGCGGCAATGCGAGCCGTGTGGCTGCCTGCCACAGCCTGCACTGTGGGGTCCCCTGCAAGCCGCACTGCACCCGGGGGGAGAGGGGGGTTTCTTGTGGGTCCAGGGAAGGTTCAGCCACTGGGAAACCCAGGTCACAGGGCACTTGTGGGCTGGCCGGCAGCTGCAGCCCTGGGTGCCCAGTGCAACTGTTGCTCAGTGCCCAGGAAGCACAGGCCTGGTGCCAGTTGTCAAAGGCCCTTCCCGGGCATGCCAGCGAATTGGAGTTCACACAATTGTGCCTCACCAAGTTTGGGGAAGCTGCAATTACGACAAGACAAACTTAGGCTAGTGCAAAGAATATCGGAACCCACACACGGGGTTTCACCGCATACGTTTCTCAACCTTTCTGCTGAGCTCCCGACAGGATCTCTTTCCCGATGGCTTCAGATCAGGGGAGGTGCTCTTTGCCAGGGTGATGCCCGGCCACCAGGGGAAGCCAGGTCACGGGGCCCAGGGAGGGGCTCTGTGCAGCTTCCTCCTCCTCTTCCACTTGCCTTGGTGGCAGGCAGCTGCCAACCTGTGTTTACTGCCTGGGTCATGGCCAGCCCTGACAAAGCAGGGGCACAGGGGACGGGTGGCACTGCAGGGCGAGCCAGGAGCCAGCAAGGAGAGGCCCTGGGCCGGACGTCGTGCTGATCTCACATTTCCATCACGGGAGCCTCGCGCTCGTCAACAGAGGTGGCTTGAGCCACTCGTGTGAGGGCAGTCCGGGTGCACTGCCAGGGCCCTGGGCGTCGCGGGGAGGCCCGGGGTGGTGGTGGTGGTGGTCGGGAGGGGCGTCAGATCTACCTTGATGGTCTTGGACTGCAGCCTCAGGCCGTTCAGCGTGTTGATGGCTTTCTCCGCATCCTTCGCAGTGACGTAATTCACAAAGCCATAGCCCAAGCTGTGTCCTGCGTGGAGACACGGAGACGTGGGCAAGGGGCAGGGACGACTCCCCATCCTCCCTCCGAGCAGCAGCCAAAGGCCGGGTCAGGGGAGGCGCACAGAGATGTCAGGAGCACAGGCCTCTGGGGGACTGGCCGGGAGGTGGCAGCCTGCACGTGAACAAACGGACCCCTGTGTGACCGAAAACAAACATGTGCCACTGTCTGCTGTGCAGCCCAGACCAGGGGTCCCATGGGTGCTGCAGCTGTGGGGCCTGATGCGTGCCCAGCTGCCCCCACTGCTTGCAGCTCACTTCCCTGCCCAGCCGGAGAACAGAATGGGGCAGCCAGAGGTGAGCAGAGCCCCGGCCTGTCAAGCAGCCTGCTTGCCCTGCATCCCAGCCTCTTCTGCTCTGGCAACGTCAGGTGCTCAGGTTCTGGGGGTCAGAAGCAACGCACAAACCCCGAGCATCAAAGAAGACCAGGGTCCGAGACAGAATGTCCCTGCCTGCTGCTAAAACGGGCCGGGCAGTGATGACCCCAGGGGACCTGGCAGGGGTGGGACCAAGGCAGAGCTGCTGGCTGGCAGTCGTGAGGACCTAAGAGGTGGCCGGGAGAAGGACACAACCCATCCTCTGTGCTGTGAACGCCGGGTGCAGGTGCTGCTCCTGGCTGCTGTGTTAACAGAGGCCAGGCGGACAGAGGGACAAGGTTGGGCATGCGTGCCCAGCGTGGAGTTTAACCCGGCTTTGCTGCTCTCCTTCTAAAACACACTGCTGCCTGACCTCACTGGCCAGAGAGGGTCTTCAGCTCCCGGCAGGCAGGCCTCTTCCGTCCCCAGGCACTCGGCGGGGGTGGCTGGGAACGCTCACTCAGGCCCTCCACTGGCTGAGGCAGTCTCTCAGCCTTTGCGGGTCCAGTTCTGGTCAAGGCCCGGCCAGCAGACTCATTCCCGCTGAAGCCCCCAGTCGCCCCGTGGTGCCCTTCAGGCCGCCGGGCCGAGGCGCCTCTGTGCGAGCCATCACACGTTCTGCACAGACTGGGCTCCTCTTAAAAGCAACCAATAAAACCTGGTCCTCTTTTTGAGGCTGATCTATCTGGAGCCACACACTCTGTCTGCCTGTCCCAGCTGGGTGGCGGGGACCCGGGCTCGCGGGCCATCTTCCACTGCTTTCCCAGGAGCATCAGCGGGGAGCTGGATCGGAAGCAGAGCAGCCGGGACACAGGCTGGCGTTCTGGTGTCATAGGAAGTGACCTCACCCGCTATGCCCCACAATGCCAGCCCCGACCCGACTGCAGGGGCCCCAGACTTGGCCCCAGACGCGCGGGGGGGAGCACATACCAGCAGGGTCCAGCCTGGCACACCGCAGGGCAGAGCCTCCGGGCCGCAGACTGCAGGACGGTGCTGGTCCAGCCTGCTGGGCACCACTCTGACCCTCAGAGGTCCTTGACTGCTGCCCTCTGACCCCTCTGGGCCACAGCCCACGGAGCCTGTCAGAGCCCAGGACAGAGCCCTGGCCACTCAGATCTTCCTGCCTTCACTCTGCTCACGACCTGGACCACTCATCATTCATGTGGCCAACACGTCGCTGGGACCCACGCCCTAGGCCTTGCATCTTCTGCCCCACCTGGCTCTGTGTGGTGGGGAGACATGGCCACGGCCTTGGCGAGGTCCTGGTTCCTGCTCTGCTGGGAGAGCCCGGTGTGGTCCCTGCCGACTCTGGGTTACGTCCAGGCGAGTCTGGCTGAGCTCCTGGGGCACTGCGCATGGCCTGTCCTCCAGGATGTGACGACACCTCCCAACTGCCCCCTCAGCCTCTGCGTGACGGTCCCTGATGTGTCACCTCTGGTCCTGGTCTTGGCCATACACCCCTCCTGACCGTGCACGTGCCTAGGGAAGTCACACCGTGGTCGGCCACACCTCCCTATGCAATCTGCTTTCTCCTGTAACCCTCCTCATCCCAACATCCTAAGCACCTGCTCTGTGTCAGGCCTGGCTGGGGCCGACACTGTGCACGACAGAGGATGGCCGCTGCCTCAAGGACCCTCGGCACACCCCCGGGGGCAATCAGCCAACCCACTGGGGCGGTGGGTGGTGGCAACGCTAACCAAGCCAAGGACGGAACAAGCCTCAAAGACAAAAGTCTCCGCAAGGGCGCTGGGCAGCCAAGAGGAGCTGACGGGCCATTACAGCTGTGTTACCACGGTGGCCAGGGTGGCCTGTGGTGGAAGGGGCCTGGCAGGGTGCCAGTATCCTGCCAGCTGAGCAAGGGCCGGGTCCCTGAGGCGTGCTCCAGGAAAGACCAGGTGGCCCGAGGGGTGGAGCAGAGGAGCCCAGGGGAAGGATGGAGGTGGCGGCCACGGGGAAAGGCGTCTGTCTGTCTGGCAGTGTGGCTGTGAGCCAGTCCAGCTGTAGGTTAAGGGTGGGGCAGGAGGTACAGGACAGAACACTGCAGAAGGTGCTGGAAAGCATTCCTGCGCAGGGAAGGTTCTAAGGCCTGGGCCAAGGCAGAGGGGAAAACAGGGTTTGTAGCTCGCCCCTGTTGACACTGCAGAACCCTGGAGCCCGGCCCACGCCGGCAGGTGGCTGTAGGGGCTTTGGAAGCTGCCTGGCTGGGGAGCCTGACCACTCAGTGACACACCAAGGGGAGAGGAGGGCACGCAGCACCCAGTTCCTGTTCCTCCAGGCAGCGTGCCTTCGCCGTCTGCACCAGGAACGCCTGGGCTGGGGGACAGAGAAGGGAGCTCTGCCGTGGGGGGCTGTGCTGCCCCCACCAGCAGTGGGCGGAGCTCCCAGTAAGGATGGGCAGGGCCGGCTGTGATGGATCAGCCCCGAGCTAGAGGAAGCTGGAACATTAGGAAGTGCTCGTGGGGGCCCGGCGCGATAGTACAGTGGTTAAAGTCCTTGCCTTGAACGCGCCAGGATCCCATTTGGGTGCCGGTTCTAATCCCACCAGTCCTGCTTCCCATTCAGCTTCCTGCCTGTGGCCTGGGAAAGCAGTTGAGGACGGCCCAAAGCCTTGGGACCCTGCATCTGTGTGGGAGACCCAGAGGATGCTCCTGGTTCCTGGCTTCAGATCGGCTCAGCCCTGGCCATCGCGGCCACTTCCATCATCAGACGGAAGATGTGTCTCTCCTCTCATCAAGTTCCTGTAAAGCGCATGTCGGCACCGATGCTCAAGCCTGCGAGACCTGGCGTGCACTCGCGTGCCTCCTGGGAAAGCAGCAAGGAGCCAGCCAGCGCAGGCTGCTCACGGTGCTGGCGGGCCCTGTCAGGACCAGCTACTCTTTCAGCGCGCCTCCTGTTAACACGCCCCACGGGGCAGCAGCTGCTGGCTCCGGTACTCGGGGCTCTGCTCCTCCTGGGGAGACCCAGGTGAAGCGCAGGGTTCCTGGCTCTGGCCTGAGCCAGACCCCACTGTTGCAGGCACTTGAGGAGTGAACGCGGGGATGGAAGGTCTGTCTGTCTGTCTCCCCAAATAGATACATTACATACATACATATATATACACGTATACATATGTGCTTTCACTTTCAAATAAATAAACCTAAAAAAAGAAAAAAAAGAAGCACATTGTTATGTTAGGACCACAGCCAGGAGCAGCGAGGATAGAGGCTGCCACGTCCTGGCAACTGGACAAGGACAGTGGCCTGGTAGCCGTCTCGCCATCATCAGTCTCCTGGCTGTGTAGAGGGCCACAGCGTGCTCCTGAGCTCAGCACGGGCAGGCATGCCCCGGCCCCGGTCCCGGGATGTTCTCTGCGGCTGGAAGTGGCTTCCTAGCCATGGTGCTGCGGGCACCATGTGCCAGGGGAGGCCCCGGCCTCATCAAACGCTAGTGCCGTGAAAGCAGAAGGCGGCTCGTACTTGGGGGTCACTGCCACCCACACGGGGGACCTGGCCGGAGTCCCAGGTCTCTGGCTTAGGCCTGGACCAGCCCCCGATGCAGTGACCGTTTTGGGGGGGGGGGGAGTAAGTCAGCAGACGGACGCAATCCCCCTCTCTGGACGGATCCTGCCCCCAGGCCAGCCGCTCTGTCAGGGCAGCTCCGGCTCCTCTGCAGCCAACACGGGGCACAGACGCCGGGAACCCTTGCAGAACCAGGCTGCAGTGCTCACTGTGCATGCTCGGCAGGGCTGCAAACCTGCACACCAGGCCTCCTGCTGCGCGGGAGACGAGAGAGGCAAAACCCGGTGGCACGGTGAAACTCGAACACTCCTCTCCACAGGAACCCTGTGAGCCGGGATGACTTCCCGGGTCAGGAAAACAGTGGAGGCTTCTAGAACATTCTCACACTGGCTGACTGTGTATCTTCTCAAGTCTCTCTGCAGGACCAGTGCAAACGCAAACTCCCCACAGAGCTGGTCAACAGGCCGTGGAACACACCTCTGCTCTCCACAAACAGGAAACGTGCTGGCTCCTTCCCCAAACTCAAATTCGAGTTTCCACGATCGGGACTTGGTCCCAACCAGCCAGCTGGCAGCCCGGGGGGCCTCGCCTCCCACGCTCTTCTTGGGCACCAGGTCTTGGGACAGCCCAGGAGGTGGGCCCTCACAAGCAACGCCCCTCAACCCTGACACTGCAGGTGGAGCCGGAGGCCCAGCCGTCACACTGCAGGGACTGCAAGGACAAGGCTCCCCGTGGCGGCCTGCTCCAGGGCGGAGTGTGAGCGGGGGCCTGGGAGGCCAGGCACGGGTCCACCTGGGTCCTCTGCACAACGGGACACTTGGTCAAGCCGTGCAGACCAAGCCAGATGAGGCTGTGGCTTTCCGGTGTAGCCTCTGTGTCTGGGGGTTCCTCTTCTCCCCGACGGCACGCACGGGCTCTGTCTCCCGGTGCCTCTTCCCGTTTAGGGATCAGGGCAGGGGAGCGAGCCGCAGCCCACCGAGGTCCTTACCTGCCACTTTATCCCGGATGAGCTTGGCGGACTCGACCTCGCCGATGCTGCTGAAGAGACTCCGCAGCTCCTCCTGCGTCATGTTCTGCGGGAGGTAGTTGACGATGAGGTTTGTTCTCCCCATGTCGTCCCTGCAGTCTTCAGCCATGTGGTCTTCATAACCATTAGACATTGTATGCTTTAAAAATCTGCAGGCGAAGACAAAGGGCGCAGTCAAACTGTTGTACCGTACGAGGGCAAAACCACGGACTACTGCTGTGCCCTATATACAGGGTGCGCGTGCCTTACCCACAGGGCCACACTCCCACCCCGGGACTTCTTTCGACCACTCCAAGTTCAAATGCAGACCACGCCGAAAAAAGCTGCCCAGGGCCGCTTCTGGCAGCTTTACCAACAAGTTGCCAAAATGGTGAAATGACCAAGATGCCCATCTGATGAATGAAAACTTCATAGCATGTGTTTTCCATAAACTTAGCAAAGATCTTAAAACACTTTGGCCTGGAAGCCGACACGTCCCATTTCTCTCCAGGACCCCGGCACAGCACATCCACGAGTGGGGACTCCCACTCACTGGCTCGCTCCAGCTCCGGGAGCTTCCGAAAGAGCCACTAAGACGACCACCCCTGCCAGCCCCAAGCGCATAGCACTTGCAGGGCAGCAAAAACGATTCTGCTACTTCAACAGTGGGGTGCAGGCACTCAAAGCTCGCAACAGAGAGAGGGTGCACCCCAACACCAGCTCCTCAGCTGGGAGAAACAGGCCCCCCCAAAGACACGACAGACAGAATCGTGGGCACACGCTGCAGTGGCTCTGCAAACCTGAAACCACCCGAAAACGAAATCTAGGGTTTGGCTGCTGCGGCACACTGACATCCCTTATCTGCACAGGTTCGAGTCCCGGCTGCTCCACTTCCACTCCAGCTCCCTGCTTGGGACCAGCGAAAGGAGGGGGGAAGGACCAAGTCTTTGGGGGAGACCTGCCCAGCGCGCCCCACTGTGACCATCTGGGGAGTAAAGCAGCAGCGGAGGGAAGCGCTCTCTCTGTAACTGCCTCCCGACACACAGCACGACCCTGTCACAGCCACCTGCCGGCCAGCCCAGCATCACCATACACACTCCGTCAACATCTGTACCGTCTGCCCCTCAAAGGAGTCCTGCCCACGTGGCTGCCCGTGGAGAGTGGGAACCTTCTGCACCCCAGGACAGAGGTGTGTGGGGGGGTCCTGTCCTCACAGCAGGCTCTTCCGAGTCTCCGGGAACTCAGCCTGTTTCCTTGGCTCACCGAGGCTGCAGTGCGCAGCTCTGTGTCCCTATGAAAGCCCAGTACCTGTGGCCACGTGGCCCTGTCCCTCTTTAAAAATGGCCCTGGGGCGGGTGCGGCAAAGTGGGTTAAACTGCACCACTTTTGACACCCACAGCTCATCCCAGAACACTGGCTGGAGTCCTGGTGCTCGGACTGCAACCCCGCTCCCGGCTGAGGCTCCTGGGAACGCAGGGGAAGGAGGCCCACGTGCTCAGAACCCCTCAAGCCACGTGGCAGACGGACGGAGCTCCCAGCTCTTGGCTTCTTCCACCTGACCCAACCCTGGCTGCTGCGGCCAGGTGGGGGGTGTGGGGACCAGGATTTGGAAACTTCCTCTCGGTACGTCTTCCATCTCTCTGCTTCTTAAATAATAAAATCAGCACTCCTGCCAGGAGTCCACAACTACACAATCACCTCTCGTATGGGAATTGCCCACCTGCCCGGAGTCAATGCCTGGGGCTGCCCCGGCTCCTCTTCTCAGACCACGCGCACGCCAAGGGCAGCCTCCAGCACCTGTCACGCAACTTACGACACAGCCGATCAGCTTTGAGACCCACGGCCAAAGACGGGACAGTGAGGCTTCCCAGAACCAGAAATGTGTGCCTGGCACACGGCACCAGCAATGGAAACCGCAGCAGCCCACTGGGGGAAAGTGGCTGCTGGCCACATGAACGCGTGGAGCAGCGGCAGTTCCCACGCGAGGTGCGTCTGGCCCCTGACCACATTCCCATGTCGGGGGGACACTGGGCAGTGTCTAGAGACGCGTTTGGTTGCCAGCTGAGGCTGGCAGTAGGCTGCTGGTACCCACCTAGCGGGTCGGGAGCCAGGGACAACGCTCAGTAAACACCCTACAGGCCCAGGATGGCCCCCACGCGCTGAGCCGTCCAGCCCCACGGGGTTACGCTGCCGAGGCTCCAAAAACCTGACCCGGAGGACTACGAATCCATGAGGGAGGGCGACAGATACGCCAGCAGCTCAGCTGGCCAATGGACTCACAACTCTGTCGGGGCAGCCAGCGCTGGGCAGTGCCCACCAACACCCTTAGCGTGAGCCCCAGCTGGGATGGCTTACGGCAGCAGGCCGCCAGCCTCCAGAGACGGGTCAGACACCCACAGAGGAGCACACCACGCGATGGATGGCCGTGGAGGAAGAGCCATGAGCAGCGTGGGGTGGCTCAGGAGGCGCGCACTGCCCTAGACGGCGCTGGCGGGCCTCATCCATCTCCCTCCCACTCCAGGCCTTTCCTCCAACGCCTCGTGAGGAGGGCACGGGGGCCCCGTTCCTGCTGTCCAGACATGGACCCCTCAAACAAGGGTCCACGCACACGCCATAGCCTGACACACTCACGCCACAGCCTGACACACACACACGTCTGGCCCGCTGCCTGCCTCTTCGGATCAAGTTTTACTGGAACGCGGCCACTCCTGCAGGTTGACGCGCTGGCCGGTCTCAAGCCACGGTGACATGACAGGGCCGAGCAGGAACCAGCAGATGGCCCGCTGAGCCCAAGACAGGCCTCCCCACCTGGCCCGCGACAGACTCAAGCCGGCGGACAGAGTATTTCCAGAATGGATCTGCGACACGGAGTACGGTAAAGGTTTCTCAGTGACAACACCAAACCCACTGTCTTTAAAAGAAAACAAACAAACAAAAAAAACCCCTGAAAATTGTATTTTATAATCATTTCACTTTTTTCAAAAAAAGATTTATTCATTTTTATTGCAAAGTCAGATATACAGAGAGGAGGAGAGACAGAGAGGAAGACCTTCCGTCTGATGATTCACTCCCCAAGTGGTCACAATGGCGGGAGCTGTGTCAATCTGAAGCCAGGAGCCAGGAGCCTCTTCCAGGTCTCCCAGTGGGTGCAGGGTCCATTTCTTTGAGAAAGAGGCTGCTAGAATTACAATCCACAGATTGGAGAAAGTAATTACAAAGTGAACTGCGTTTGGAACATTCTCTGATGTTCTCAAAACAGAACAACGGGCCCGGCGCAGTAACCCAGTTGCTGAAGTCCTTGCCTTGTATGTGCTGGCATCCCACGTGGGCGCCAATTCATATTCTGGCTTCTCCACTTCCCATCCAGCTCCCTGCCTGTGGCCTGGGAAAGCAGTGGAGGACGGTCCAAAGCCTTGGGACCCTGGCACCTGCGTGGGAGACCCAGAGGTGGCTCCTGGCTCCTAGCCTCCGCTCCAGCTGTTGCAGCCACTTGAGGAGTGAACTGTTAAAGACGGAAGATCTTCATCTCTCCTTCTCTCTGTAGATCTGACTTTCCAATAAAAACAATCTTAAAATCATGAGAAGCCTCAAGTTGCAGGACAAAGCATCTGAACAAACACAGACAACAGGTGGATAGCAAGTAACTGCGTGACAAGATGCCCAACCCGCCGGGCACCAAGAAAATGCATGTGAACACCACACGGAGCTCCCGCTGCCTGTCACAGTGGCTGAGACAAAAGTGGACAGACCCAGGGACAGTGAACCAGCCAATGTCAAGGGCGGGGAGCCCCTGGGGAGGCGGGTTAAAATTAGCCAGGCAGAGAAGGAGGGCTCTTCCATCCGCTGGTTCGCTCCTCAGATTGCTGCAATGGCCCGTGTGTGTGGCTGGCCAGCCGGGCTGGCGCTTCTGGGGGGGCTCCCACTCCCCCCGGACCATCTCCCACTGCTTTTCCCGAGCCGTGAGCGCGGAGCAGCTGGGACAGGGACAGGCGGCCTCAAGGGCTGCTGGCTGGCATCAGCCGGTGGCTGGACCCACCGACACCCGGCACCGACCAGCAGCAGGCGAGCAGTTTCACCAGCTAAGCACACCGAGCATGCGACCTGGCAATCCCAGCACCGATCCAAGATGCTGATGACGGGGTTAGCGTGACTGTCTCCAAACACCCGGATGTCTTTCAGGTCCAGGGGGGCACCGGCACGCCAGGCAAGGGAATGCTACTCGGCAATAAAAAGGTGCCGCCAAGTCATGCCCGCGCCGCCCACGGGCATCTCAAATACCTTCTGCTAAATGAAACAAACGAGACTCCACAGGCCACAGGCACTGGGAGTGTGCGTCTGCATTCCAGAAAGGGCAGTTACAGCTGGCACCGATGCGGTATGCAGTTCGGGGGCCTGGGCATGTGCCATGCCAGCGCCCCCCCTCGTGCTGCAGGGCAGCGGCAGATGGCACAGGCTGCCGTGCCGACAAAGTGCCCATCTGCGTGTGGCCGCAGCATCCTCAACGCTTTATTCTTAGAGGGGCCAACTGCCGGCTAACACAGGTGCCCCGACAGTGCCCGGGGAGCATCTGCAGGGACACAGCTGGCCTGCCTGGGACGGGCAGCCGGGGCAAGGGTTCATTTCACAGGGCGGCAGGAGATTTTGAGGGACGAGACTTTCCGGTGTCTTGGCCACAGTGGCAACTCCATGCATTTGCCAAAATTCAAACAACTCTACAACCAGAAAGAAGGGCCACTGCACAGATGCACACACAAATAAGAGAGGCTGAGGGGGCCCGGCGCGGCAGTCTAGTGGCTAAAGTCCTCGCCTTGCACGTGCCGGGATCCCATACGGGCGCCAGTTCTAATCCAGCTCGCTGCCTGTGGCCTGGGAAAGCAGTGGAGGACGACCCAAAGCCTTGGGACCCTGCACCTGCGTGGGGGACCTGCAAGAAGCTCCTGGCTCCTGACTTTGGATTGGTTTAGTTCCGGCCATTGTGGCCACTCAGGGAGTGAATCATCAGACGGAAGATCCTCCTCTCTGTATATCTGACTTTCCAATAAAAAAATAATTAAATCTTTATTTAAAAAAAAAAAAAAAAAGAGCCTGAAGAACTTGGCCCTGATGGCCAACCTGCTCTGCGGGGACCTGCCCTTCACCTGAGCCGAAGCCGCATCCCTCGGCCCTCACG